TTCTCATTTCATAATTTGTAGAGTGCTTTTTACATGAAATGATCAAAGGCGGTGATATTATACAGTAGAATATAGGATATGAAACCATTATTTTTATGATCACAGGAATTAATACATCCAGATATTTCATTAAAAGGTCAGTAAGGATAGGATCAAATGAGAGGATTTCTTCTGTGAGTTCATAATAAGCTTTTTGGTAATAATAATCCATATGCCTGTATTCTAAGAGCTCACTCGCACTCACAATTGAGTGCGATTCCAGTGAGATAAACTTAAATGGAAGTGTTTTATATGAGCAGGTCAGCCGCGGTCGATTTGCTGAAAATGGGGGAATGAGACAGCCCTGAAGCACCTTCCGGGTCTGATCTGCTTCCTCATTCTACAGGCCAACTAACGGCGATGTTCTCGCAGTTGATGGCCGAGATGAAAAGCTTAAATGCTGGACTGATTACAGCTTTACACAACACAGACGAAACTCTTCAAACTGATGACATTGATGAAGAAGCACTGTTGAAGAATGATTCGCCGAACGACAACGTTACTACAGAGAAATGAAGAATAATGAAACTGAATCTCTCGATACTTCCATAGGTGTAGAATTTTGTTTTCTTCTAGGGGGGGGGGGCTCAAACTTTAGATACATGATATCTAGCTAGCAACATCTTCTGGTACTTCATCAAATTTTTAGGCGCTGAGACTCGGCGGGTTCCAGCCCCTCAGCCCCCACCCCATACTCTACGCCTCTGGATATTCGTGTCATTGAACTGTAAACAAACTGGAACGATAAATCAGGGGGGGGGATTGAAGCCAGTGCTTTTTACTTTTTCTGAGTTTTGAGCTGAAATAGTTGACGCTAAATTTCGAGCCGTATATGAAATTAAAGCTATTAAAAAGTTATATTTCGTGTAGAAATTTCGAGACTTTAACTTAAAAATTGGTAATTGTTTTTGTTTTTTTAAATATTTCCTTTGTAATTTAAGTCTTGAAATTTCTACACCAAATATAACTTTTCAATAGCTTTTATTTGACACACAGCCCAACGTCTGGCATCAAGTACTATCTTGGCCTCAAGCTGAATAGGGATGTTTGTCAGGAGTTATCGTTCCAGACTTCCAGTTGTATAGAGTTCACTGTACTCGTGTTAGTAAACTAATTCATTCGTGCGAAAGTTCTGACTCGGCTGACATTCTGACAACGACTGCTCGGGATTTTGCCTAAAACGAAGTTACAAGCGCTGAAATCAACGAAGATCTTGTGAAGATTATATCGTGCTTGCTGCAAAGGAAAATGGCTGATGACAAGCTAAAGCCAAAGCTGTTAAAGTATGCGAGACCAAGTAACATCGATGAGAACATATGTTATGCGATCAGACACCGAGGGAAATCACAAATACTCACAAGAACATGGAGCGGCGCGCAGACGAGATACAACCGAAAGCGATCGTGCCAGTACTTGAAAGCGCGTGACGGATGCACAGTTGATGAGTACCCATTTGCATCAACGCAAAAGAATCCTTATTACTCTGTTTGTCTTTTGGTTCCTAAGGAAGAAGAAGAGTACCAAGCCTCTCAGCTAGACGCTGCATATGCTCACGCAACAAAAAATGGTATAGTTAATTTTGGCCAGAGGTTCATGGTTAGATTGGTAAACTACGACCCATCAACATCAAGTGAAACCAACCCATGCTATGATGATCTTGGAAATGGACGACCATGTCAATGGTAAAATCAGCAATGATTAAATGAATAAATAAATTCATTATTATTTTATCTGTACGTGTAGATTCTTAGAAAAATAAAATTTCTTCGGTTTCGACAAGGACCATTATTTCTTTTTGTTTACTATGATAACAATAATATCATAATTTCTCATTTCATAATTTGTAGAGCGCTTTTTACATGAAATGATCAAAGGCGGTGATATTATACAGTAGAATATAGGATATGAAACCATTATTTTTATGATCACAGGAATTAATACATCCAGATATTTCATTAAAAGGTCAGTAAGGATAGGATCAAATGAGAGGATTTCTTCTGTGAGTTCATAATAAGCTTTTTGGTAATAATAATCCATATGCCTGTATTCTAAGAGCTCACTCGCACTCACAATTGAGTGCGATTCCAGTGAAATAAACTTAAATGGAAGTGTTTTATATGAGCAGGTCAGCCGCGGTCGATTTGCTGAAAATGGGGGAATGAGACAGCCCTGAAGCACCTTCCGGGTCTGATCTGCTTCCTCATTCTACAGGCCAACTAACGGCGATGTTCTCGCAGTTGTTGGCCGAGATGAAAAGCTTAAATGCTGGACTGATTACAGCTTTACACAACACAGACGAAACTCTTCAAACTGACGACATTGATGAAGAAGCACTGTTGAAGAATGATTCGCCGAACGACAACGTTACTACAGATAAATGAAGAATAATGAAACTGAATCTCTCGATACTTCCATAGGTGTAGAATTTTGTTTTCTTCTAGGGGGGGGGGGGGTTAAACTTTAGATATATGATATCTAGCTAGCAACATCTTCTGATATTTCATCAAATTTTTTAGCGCTGAGGCGCTGAGACTCGGCGGGTTCCAGCCCCTCAGCCCCCACCCCATACTCTACGCCTCTGGATATTCGTGTCATTGAACTGTAAACAAACTGGAACGATAAATCAGGGGGGGGGGATTGAAGCCAGTGCTTTTTACTTTTTCTGAGTTTTGAGCTGAAATAGTTGACGCTAAATTTCGAGCCGTATATGAAATTAAAGCTGTTAAAAAGTTATATTTCGTGTAGAAATTTCGAGACTTTAACTTAAAGGTTGGTAATTGTTTTTGTTTTTTTAAATATTTCCTTTGTAATTTAAGTCTTGAAATTTCTACACCAAATATAACTTTTCAATAGCTTTTATTTGACACACAGCCCAACGTCTGGCATCAAGTACTATCTTGGCCTCAAGCTGAATAGGGATGTTTGTCAGGAGTTATCGTTCCAGACTTCCAGTTGTATAGAGTTCACTGTACTCGTGTTAGTAAACTAATTCATTCGTGCGAAAGTTCCGACTCGGCTGACATTCTGACAACGACTGCTCGGGATTTTGCCTCACGAAGTTACAAGCGCTGAAATCAACGAAGATCTTGTGAAGATTATATCGTGCTTGCTGCAAAGGAAAATGGCTGATGACAAGCTAAAGCCAAAGCTATTAAAGTATGCGAGACCAAGTAACATCGATGAGGGCTTGCGCTCACCACGATTAAACGTGTTAGGTTTCGTGAAGAGCACAGTGAGCGGAAGTTAAGGCTCAACGCACACAAAATGTTTTAATTGCTGCAGTTTGTGCGATAATAAAGGCCACTAATTATGTTTTGAAGGCCAATAGTGATAAAGAGTTGATCACAATGCTCACAGACGCTGCGGCGTTTGTCATCCAGTGTAATCATGATGTGAATCATTCACGCCGTATGGCTTTAAAGGGAAGAGCTCCACAAAGATTTTGCAGCTTTTTGTAATGTAAATGTTCCACCAGGGCAGTACTTATTTTGTATGAGGCCTGTTTCAGACATCGAACTTTTTATCGTTTAATTTTCTAAATCAGTTTACGTGTTCCTGCATAATATTTCATACTTGTTAATTGTTAATTCTTAGCGATGTCGTAACACATATTCTCATCCAACATGGCCGCTGGGTCAACGCATCTCCACTTGTAACCACCATCCTTGTCCTAGCTGCGGATAAATCTGGCAAAAGTAAACGCTTTGGAAACACACCACTCGTCTCGCAGATTCTGTACTCGATATTCTGAAAAATAAGTGAAATGAAATGGGGCTGTTTATATGGGAGCTTGCCGGGTCAGTGAGACAGCCAGGTAAACGGGGTAAATAATTATTTGTCCTGTGTTTATATGAGAGCATTTCATCCCGCTAACCGGGATAAAGATTATTTACATGATTTACATTTAATTGCATGGTATAGGGGCTATTTAGAGTGCAGGACCGTCGAGCATCGGCACATTGTGAAAACAAGGCCGGGGGACAGTTTTCGCAAGTGTTTTAATTTCCACTACTTACAAATACTAAATACTAATTGTTATTTCAAATTCATCCCGAATGATTTTATACGCCAAATCACTCGTGTTTCGGAAGTTTTAAAACTTTGCAATCTCATCCCTTGCTAACGAAACAATTCTATATACGTTCTTTATTCTACTCGGTTATACGACAGAATAATAAGGTTATTGTGTCATATATATATTCAAAGTTATGTGGAGTTTGCTTTGTTCCCTCCTCAGTTTCCTGTGCTTCGATGGTTTTTCTCTGGGTACTTCGGTTTTCCACTCTCACTGAAAATTAATACCAGCGTAATGAGACGTTGAAAAACTACGCTAATCCTCGGAGCCTTTGTGCCAAGCGTCAACTATATATAAAAGTGAAAAGCGCATTAACAAACACACTTGCATGCTTGGTGTTCTATTATTGGTGTCACATTATCACTATACACGAAGCGTTAAGACTTAAGTCTTAAACGAATTCGAGCTTTCTTAAAACAAATGGTAATTACTGGTAACTGTCATACTATAATGAAATAATCTGCGATGAGGTCTTCACTCACACTCGAAGACTCCAAAGAACAACAGTGTCAAAAATTCAGGTAAGCGCTGATCTTACTATTATCAATACACGGTGTATCAGAAAAAACGAGAAATTTTAAAATGTTCAGAAAACTATAATGTACATATCAAGTTACACTACATTTATTATTTTAGATAATTAAGCTAACTCGAAAAAAAGTTCAATTTGATTTCGTTCAGCCTAAGAGGTTACTGAGACTAAGTGAAATAGCGATAGTTTTTTTTTAGATAGACCGTAGAATTTAGATTGATAACTTGTCAAACTATCATTACTTCACGAATTTTATGCTATTTTATGCTAAATAAAAGTAATTTTATTATTACAACGTTAAAATTCGGTTAGTTATACACGCGGCTGATCTTTCGCCGTCTATATTGGTTAAAGTGCTCCTGGCAGAAAAATGAATTTTACATTTTTGAAATCTTCGTGAAACGTAGATAATGAAAATAGAAATCATAATTGAATTTGAGGTTTTTTTCGCTGAGTTATAGAGCAATGAAATTCAAAATTTTTGAATTTTAACGGCAAAAGTTTTTTAAAACAGCGAAGCCGGAAAACTGGTAACTAATACGTCACAGTAGGATCCGGTTTGGGCATTCGGCTTATACATAAACATATAGATAGTATAGACAGATATAGTATAGAACGAGATATTTGCGATTGAACTTGTACAAAACTCTCGTACAATACTTCTGAAAATGTCCTCATCAAGCTCAGATGCGGAAAGTAATAGCTATCAAAGCGACGACTCAGATTGGAATTATATTCCCGGTCCATATATAATAAAGAAACAGAGCGAAGCGGCTGCGAATATAGACGACCAAATTACAGACGAAACATCAGAACTTGGTCCTTATGCCAATGAACCGGCGGCTGACGAAGAGTGGCTCGCTAACTACCGTGAAAAAAAGCAAACTTACGACGAGCGTTTAAAGGAATTTCAACGGAGACTTGATGGTATCGAAGAATTAGATAAATGGTATATTTCCCCGCTTTTATATTTGCGTGTCTTTGCTTTGCGTGACTTAGTTTGCGTGACTTCGCACAGGGTACGATAACTACAGATTTTATTTCAGGTGTAAGTGTGGCAACTGTCGGATTGAACTCCTTCACAATGCTAAAGAATGTCAGTGTTGCGTAGAAATCGAAGAGTGTGAAGAAGCGCTGAATAGTGAGCTTGTCATGCAGGAGCTGGAAAGGGAAAACCCTCCATCTTGCATTGTCGACCATCCTGGATTTAACAGTGTGTGCTTAGACAAGTGGTCGCTTCGTTTAACGGCAACCAAATTACGCACAAGGAAGAAAGAACAATACCGTCAAACAAGCACAGAAGATAAGTAAGTACATTATACACATGAAATTTAAATGCACAATCACACACTGACATGTTTAAACATGCTCTATGATTTGTAGATTCTATCGAAGCACAGCCTACAGAAGTTTTGTGTGGTTGGTTTTTGGGCATCTGGGAAATAGAAGGTATCCCTTACCAGCATGTGCATATGAACGAATAAGACGTCATTTTCCACCTACAGACAATGAAGACTTTGTAGGATTTGTAGAGGAAGAGGATAGCTCTTGACAATTTGTGTATATAATTATATTATTAATGTTATATGTTATAATACTCCACATTATATATTATTTCAGATAACTATGAACATTTATTGGTTTCAGATAACTATGTACATTTATTTACAACTGGTTTGGTTTTACTGCTGTGTTTGCTTTTGATTTTTGGGACAATCCTTCACTTCTTTGTGTCCCTTCATCAAATTCTTGCACAAGGAACACCTTGGAGCTGCTCTGCCAGAGGCTGCTTTAGCAGCCTTTGCTGCCTTTTCCTGAGCAAGAACAACTGAAACTGAGAAAAGTTATTTATTACTATTTTAACTTAACTAATGAGTTATGATTGTGGCCAAAAATATTATACTGTACATACTTGTTGTTGGAGGAACATCTTCCACAACAAGATTTTTTCTTGCCTCCTGCTTTTTGATGGCAATTTCTTTCAATTCCTTGTTTTCAAACATGGTGTTCATGGGGGCAGGTGTCATCTCTTTTAATTTTTCAGAAGCTTTCTTGAGGGTGCCATTTCCAGATGCTTTTAGGAAAGTCTGATATATCTCTTCCACATATTAATGACAAAGATTTATTTATCAATACTATAACACACATCAGTCATACTTCATTAATGCTCATTGCACCATTCATTCTTTTAACTTCCTTACCAAAGTTTTGTTTTACTTTGCTTTCCCTAACAGTGGCATCGCCACCTTTAAACTTTGGATAAGACACCTTGACCTGTGGTGTACCATCTTCATGGAGTTTTGCCTTACGACATAAATTAGCATTAAAATGGATTGCTGCCAGGATGTGTCTAAATGATGTAGAAATTTTAATCAAAATAATAAGCTAGCTAACCAAATCAGTTGCTGTTAGTTTATTACTAATAGAGTAAAACCAACCTGCAGTATATACCAGAAAATGAATAAGCATTCATTTTTGGGGAGAACTGATTGATGACAGAGTGGAAACCTTCCAAACAACTAGTTTGGTCCAACGGTGAAGCTTGTTTAATGCCCTTAACAAAGGACTTCTTTAGCATAGCACCACTTAGTTTTGTGTAGGCTGGAGAATCTATAGTTTATTGTGAAAAAAAATTGTATCACATTAATAACATCTGGGCAGTATGAGCGAAGAGCCATTTTTACAAAGCATACCAGGTAGAATCCACTTTCTTGGAGTCAGTTCACCATGAACACATTTATCATACAATGGGTCATCAAACCCATCATGTTTGTCAACAATATGACCAAGGAAAGACTTGAACTTAGCCAGTATAATCCTGCCATTTCCTGAGTAAGTAGATGTGGCACTCCAGTAAAGGTGGTTTATACAGGGTTGTATCCATTCTGCCAGTTCTTCACAATCTGCCTCTTTAGCCAGCTTAGTCAAGACCTTATGCAGCTCTTGAAGTGAAAAATACATAGGTTGAGTAAAACAATAGTGCAGTGTACTTATTATGATGTGTATTTATAAACAAAACTGCTGCAAATAATAGATACTTACTCTTTTTCAAGTGCCATATGTCGAAATAATGTTTTATCTTTGGTAGTTTCTCCCTCATGTGTTTTGCTATTGTTTGATGTCTGTCTGAGACAAAGGTGGAAATGTCCAGGCCTTCAGCTAGGAGAAAGTTCAAACATCTTTGGAACCCTTCAAATTCCATTGCAGGGCTGCTTCCAACTTCATTTCTCTATAAAAAACTCGAATCAATTATATGAGCAAAAAAGAGCACTTGAGTTCTTTTCATTGATATTACCTGGATCAAACTAAAATCAATTATTTCAGCTGAGGTACAACAAAATATTGTGTAAGCACCATATTTTGCACTATGCCCCATGCTATCGTGCCGTCCATCACCAGAAATAACCAAAGATTCCAATGCTTGTAACCGACCCAGAATCTTTCTTCGGTAATCTTCCCAGTGAAGAAAGATTGTTGGAAACAACATTTTCTTAAAAGAAAAATCACAACTGGTATAGTAGAAGTTACACCTCAATTTGCTCTGGGGTCTAAGACCTGAGTCAGTTATATATATACATACCCCTTGGTGTCTATAGTAAGATTCATTGCACATTCCAACAAGTCCCATGTGTCGAAACATGTTGAGCACTTTAGTGGGTGATCCTCCAGATACAAGAATAGCGAAACTTAGCAGGAAATCGCAAGCGTTCAGTTTTGTCGTAGGCATCAGTGGTTGACTTCTCCATATGTTGTTTTTTCGACTACAAACGGGATTGGCACAAGTTGTCCTCACAATTAGCAGGGTTCCATCCGTCGTAGTTTCAACGAGAGGGTCATCTGCTTTGCAATAATGGCAAAACTTAAATAGCAACAGCAACTGTGACAGGAATATGATGTATTTAGGTTGCTGGCGTAGGTTCTCAGTGGGATTACTAAACGTGAGAAGATTTATAGGTATATCAATATACGACCATTGCAAAATCACAGGATATTCCAACTTTGTACTAAGCTGACCTACAAGCCAAATATTCAGTCTGTGAACTCTATTGAGTATTAAAAATAATTAAAATATACCTTGTGTCTTCGTCTCCTAATTCCGATTTGTCAGACTCGCTTTCATCTCCGCATTGGAAATCCTCGTCGCTGGTGTCCATATCATCTCCTGTCTCTTCACTTCCCGGTTCGGGTTCTGGAAGTGTTAGGAGCATTTCAGCACGGCTTGGTTCTTCCACATTTAGTATATTACACTGAACACCTACATAAATTGGAACGTTTGCACTTGATGAATAGATCATTAAAACTTATAGTGCGCAGGGAAAACCTATATCCTTATTTACAAAGGGGTATTTCGCACAGTATGAAACATATGGGTTTTCCCTGCAGCACATATGTACAGTACCAAAGATAAAAACACGCTACCTTTGGAATGTTTACTTTCACCAGTGCATCGTACTTGCTTTTAAGCGCAATATACTTGTTCCAAGTCTTACGCTTTTCTTTTAGCAAGTACGCACAACCAACACAACCGTCTGTTCCAGTTGAAACGCTGTTTGTCTAAAGCAAGAAGCCAAACACAAAAAATGTAGACTCAATCAATGCGGTCACTGTCAATCGGTGTTTGGTGCCCGCAAATGTCACACCGAAATATTTGTTTGTTAAACCTTTATACGTACTTTGTTCGGAGAAGCGTTTTCTGGCAGTTCTTCTCCAACATTTTCCATTGCGTGTTCAGCTGGGTCTGTTTCGTGGCAAGGTTCATCCGGCGCTTTGCCTTGGGCGGTCACACTTCCAGACAACGCTTCTTTTACAACCTTTACAATGTGATAAATATTTGCATACAACGCGGCATATAATCGTATGTATGTATTCAAATAGCCGACAAAAGAAAATTGCACTGTGTTTAAGAAACAGCAAACATAAAAATGATTCTTTACAATTAACAATTAACAATACGTACGAACTTACCATTCTCCTAGCTCTCGCTGACGAGGGTTTAACCACTGTCTCTGTAGTTACTGCGTGGTACTTAGGAACTGCCACTACGCCAATTTCATCAGAGGCTAACCGCGGTACTTTGCCAGAGAAACCAGAAAACATTTGTGTAAAATCTTTCCTGTCAAAATGCGCTGAGCAAATACTCGAATTGGGAGTCGGATCCCATTTTGCCCGCTTTGACCGCACGAAATCAATCCACTGCTTTCGTCTCTTTTTGGCTTCTGGCCTTTCGTCGCCAGAAAACGGTATGAAATGAAGGGAAATTCCTTTCTCCGCATTAGAAGTATTAGAGCAACCCCCGACAATACATCTATTCGGCATATTTTTATTTGCGTGATTTTTTTGCGCCGCCACCTTTCTTACAACAACATCTGAATAATACACGCTAATGATTTTTGTAATATGAATGAGTCAAACCGGTTCCTATTGTGACGTCACATCAATGATTTTGTACCAATCCCTTTTGCGCGGTTTTTTTTTCCAAATGCTATGTTTAAGTGGCAATAACTTCTAAACTAAAGTCGCAATTGCAATTCGGTTTTCGAATAGAGTATACACTGCTAACAACGATTCTAAAAATGTAAAATTCATTTTTCTGCCAGGAGCACTTTAACGTGTTATTAATTGTAATTTTATATTAGTGTAAGTTCAGTCTATTGATCTTTTTTTAATTGTCACCTCGCATGCAGTGTAATTTAATTAGTATTTCTTACTATGAAATGCGAACTTTTTAAAAATCATGAATAATAAAAAAATAACTAGCAACTGATATACTAATTAGATATAATCTGTGATGAAGTCTTTATTCACACTTTGATACTCCATAATTATAAAGAACAGCAGTAACAAAAATTCAAGTGAACGTCAAACATATCACCCTTAACACGAGAAATAAATTTCATATTAGTTTCAAGTATGTTAGTTAATCTGCACCTTTTTATAATATATTATTTAGCTAAACAATAATTAAACTGTCATCATACAAACCAATACGATTCAAACACCTTTTATATACAAAATTCACAAAGGAATTAAAAAAATCGTACATGTAATGCATGCAAGGCATAAAATAACAAAAACTGTATTAAAAAGTTATAATGTATATATTAATAATATATATATATTATAACAAGGCACAATACATTTTGTTATTGAAAAATATTCTCTTGATGGATTTATTAGCGCTAGCCTGGAATTGCAAATCAGTTTTCTTTTGCTTAAGTTGCATCAGTTTGCACGAAATTCCCGATTGACATCATGTTTGGTACAGGCTAATAAATCCATCAAGACAAAACTTTTCAATAAGAAAATGTATTGCAAAGTTTTTAATATACCTTAAACTTTTGATATATTCGAAATCCGCAATCATGGTTTATGCACTTTAATTATAGACGTTGAAAACTAAGCCAAGCGTTAACTAAAAAGCTAACAAATACACCCGCATAATCTTCTATTATGTCACATGCATTATCACTACACGAAGCGTTAAGTCTTAAACCAAAAAAGAAACAGGTGACTAGATTAGATGTGAAAAATCTTTTCAAAAGAAATCTCGCTACATGTTGCATTCAAGAACTTTTGACCCCTTAACTCTTAAGACCTATATATAGACTACACGATAAGTTGTATCACTTGTATGCAATTATCATTCTGACGAATGCACAAGAGTGCCTATGCCACAATCTTCATTCAATTTTGTTCAGGTTAGAATTTAAAGTGTCAGATTTGTACGTGTGTTCATACGTTCACATACATTAGCTACTAACAATAATTACAAACAATAAATACGAACTTTTCTTTCATTGTTTTATTTAATAATTACACCTGCATGGAGACAATGCTAAGGGCTTTTTCAAGAGGCAACAATCATCAATTTGGGTGGGAAGAATATTGTTGACTTTGTAGTTTTTGAACTAGTGGGTTTTGCTACTTCACTCCAGACTGAATTTAGTATTGCTATTTAAAAATGGCACTGTTGCTTAGTTTTGTTTAGTTTTCACCGGTTAAGGCTTTAGCTATTTTTCTTTTTAGTTTTGTAGTCAAGATGTTCATTTTTTACTCGAGCTATATAGCGAGAGTCTTAAATTCGGTCAGTTTTTTCGCGCAAGACTCCCATGCACGCGGCCAAATCGGGCCAATTGAAATAAATCGTTATCGCATGCATGTGACATATTTGTGACCATCTCATTGGCGTCCAGCGGCTCATTCAACTTCCAGTTTCTTTGTGCTTCACATCAGTTGAGGATTATCTTCTGACATACGACACGTTACGTTAACAAAAAGCGTATAATAATGCTGCGTTTTATTATGCGTTCCCAAGTACTTTGAGAATGTACGCTTTCTAAGCGTATTCTATCGAAGCTGAACGACACTGCATACATATTTCTGTGACTGTGTACTCGATACGAAGCTAAACGACTGAATGCATATATTCTGCGCGAAAAAATTAAACGTCTTTATACGCATATTTCGTGAACTCGATTAAAACTATAACTCCGCGCATATTTTGTGTACTCGATCTAGCCTAGTTATTTTGTTTGAAAATACAGCGATATATGTTGCTAAAATGGGCATTGGCAATCGACGATTTTAAGTTAATCTGCGATGTTTTTGCATTGCCTACACGCCAATCCTCTGCTTTTATTTATAACCTTCCTCCGCTAAAAGCAGCTCTTTTATCTCGAATAAACGCTTATAGCAAGCGTCTTGTTGCATCTGTTTTGAGGGGAACGGATTGCTTATAGGTACACTTTGTCATTGGTTGAGAAAATCGTATCAACACACGAAAATATACAATCTTTATTATATATATGCGCTGATACGAAGTATTAATGTGTGTGTGTGTGTCGAATATAAGACTCGTTTCTCACTGGTTAAAATCATTCACTGGCCTATTTTCTACATCTTAACCAGTTTTATAAGTTCATTCTGATTTACCATTTCATTGAAGCTAACATATACTGACTAAGATTATATCTACCAATATTTTGGATAGGATATTCTACCGGCCTATAATGAAGCTTGTGCCGCTTGTAATCACTTTCTTTGCTATTGGAAGCTGGATGTGGCCTTCTGCAGATGCTGCGACGAAATACAAATATATAGTAAGTATTATTCCCGATTACATGAAAATAAATTTTTTGATACGCGATTGGTCGAGAAGCTTGTTTCTACACTACCATATAATTAACTGACCATGCACCAGTCTTTTGTGGTTAGGGGTTGGGCGATCAGCCAATAAGTGTTTTATTATATATAGCAAATTTCAAAGGAAACTACGTTCTGTTTATAAATATGGGGTAAATGACTGTTAAAATGCTGATATCTTTTAAAGCACCGATCGACCTCTGCTATCTTTGAATATAACAATACCACATTTCTCCACATGTTCAACCATTCCAGAATTCCATGCAGGTTATGCTGACAAATTGCCGAAAAATTTCTCGCGTTATTGTCCCTCTGGCGATAAAACTGATATCTGATAAAATTAGAAAGAAATTATCTATTTTTAATCTGTACCTGTATAACTGTATATTTTCTTCATCTGTGATTTTTCTCCAGCCTTTGCTTAGATTTGATTGCACCAATATGCAAGCCACTTGCGAGAACATCTGTTACGCGATCCAAAACGCAGGGAAACCAGACAGACTTACAAGAACATCGGGTGGCGCGGAGACGAATTATAACCGTAATCGATCGTGCAAGAATTTAGTGGCGACTACAACATGTACAGCCGATGAGTACCCATTTGCATCAACGCAGGAGAATCCTCCTAACCCTGTTTGTACATTGGTTCCTATAGCAGAACAAGAAGAGCAAACAAGTCAGATGAACAAAGTGTATAAGTACTCATCACCAAATGGTGTGGTTGATTTTAACCAAGAGTTCAAGGTTAAATTGAGCAACTATGTAGCACAAGCTAACCCATGCTTTGCGTTTCCAATTGGATCAGGACGACCATGTGTATGGAATGGAGATTAAATGTTTAAATAAATTTATCATTATCCTATAATATCACATCATGTGTACTTGTAGATTCTTAGCAAAATAAAATACTCCGGCGTGATCGACGGAGTTGAAAAGTAGTCTTTCTTTTTGTTTTTATTTGTCGTTGTAAACAATGGCCTATAGCCAGCCTCAGGGCGTTGCGAACGATGTGGGATTGAGGGATACCTGATGAAGACACTAGACTGTGGTGTCGAAACGTTAGGTTGTGAATGTAATTTTTGTGTGATTACTTTCATTAATTATATACCTTTTGTAATCAGCGGCAAATACTGCAATTTCATTGGTTAAGAGGAAGGCGATTAATCATTAATCGCACTCTTTCATGACCTTCAATTGTGTTTTAGTACTTTTCCTTAAAACAAGTTGATTACAGAAGGCATATAATTAATAAGTAATCGAACGAATTAAGTCAGTCGTACAATTATTGGCCAAATCATACTCGTGATTAACAAACCAACCTCCCGCTAAGCTTTCCGTTAATTTTGTAATCACTCGTAACATGTTATAATCATCAAGACTTGGGCCTTTACGTTTGCGCTCTTACGAATAATTACGCAGTGAACCTTACATAAGGACTGGCTGCGTTACATGAAGAATGGTTATGTCATTCTAACGTCATTCTTACACATACGTCATTCACAATTATAGTGCTTACCTATATACCGGCATGCGCTGATCATGTTTCTTTTTTATCCACTGTTGTCCATGCAGGGTTGGACGCCCCCTTCTACTCGGTGAGTTGTTCATAATTTTACAGATATCTTATTATCTATATTGTTTAACTTGCATTTGACGCGACCAAAATGCAACGTATAAGTGGTATAATCTAGATTTAAATTATAACAATAGTCTTATTTCTAAAGGTATTCTCTTTTTTTACACCCTTTAAGGCTAGTTTCCACTCAAGAAAATTCTCCTTTGGATCGGACAGGACAGGAAAGTTTCCTTTGTATAAACGCCGCCTGAGAACTCACCGACAAAGGAAATTTTCCTGTCCGTTCCGATCCCAAGGAGACTTTTCCTGAGTGGAAACTAGCCTTTACAGTGATGTTTTTTCCCTAGATTTTGGCTGTGATCAAATAATCCGTAATCCCATATAAAATATCCATATATTTGGATAACTTGGTATATAATTGCATTCATTATGAAATGTATATGTCACCTAAAGGCTTTCCAGTTAAGAAAATTATCCACCGGACCGGATCGAACAGTGTGGTTTCTTTTGTGCTTAACACAATTAGTTTTGGTTGAGAACACAACTGATAAAAGAAACTTTTCTGTCCGATACGGTCCTGAAGATCATTTCCCTGACTGGAATTCTGACCGAAAAACACGGCTAAATTATGGTTTCATGCAGGTGCAGGTAGCCTTTCGACTATTCTAGTTCAATACTATTCGTGGATTCAATACAATTTTTCAATTAATTTGCAGAAGTTGTATCATGTCCGTGGTATAGGTCAATGATGAATTTTTAGCGATGTCGTAACACATATTCTCATCCAACATGGCCGCTGGATCAACGCATCTCCACTTGTAACCACCATCCTTGTCCTGGCCGCGAATAAATCTGGCAAAAGTAAACGCTTTGGAAACGCACCACTTGTCTCGCAGATTCTGTACTCGATATTCTGAAACGGATAAATGAAACTTGTGGTTAATAGCATGGTACGTAGGTGCTACTGATTTAGACTCAAACCTATAGAACCAGGGACACCGGCACAATGTGAATACAGGGGGAATACATAAACTTATTAGGCCAGTTTACACTACCTTCAATGGGGAGTTTAAGATTTGAAAACGGAAATGAAATGTTTTTTCCACTACTTGCAAATACTAAATATTTGTTATTTCAAATTCATCCCGGATGATTTTATACACAGAATCCTTGTGTTTCCTGAGTTTCAAACCCTTGCAGTCTTATCCCTTCTTAACAGAACAATTCTCCACAACTAACGTCGCGTATACTGTATAGTCAGTCTCGTTCGAGGTCTCCTTTCTACGTTTTTTCTTCAGCTGTTACGACAGAATAATGCGGTTATTGTGTCGTATGTCAAATTACGACGAATTGTGTTATATGTACAGGGTGTCCCCCAAAAAGTCAACCCTATTGAAATGAAACTTTTATTGAAATTTGAATGCATGATCAACGCAGTAGTGTGTAAATAGCATAGTTATTAGATTGAAGCATTCAAATTGGGTTAAGGCAATCAGATTCTAACAAAGGCTTTATTTCAATGGAGCGGACATTTTTTGGGACACCCTGTATATGAAAGCCAGTCCGTAATGACTATTGTGCACACACTTTTGTTTTCATCTTAAACTGCTTTTTCTAAATTCATCATTGTGCTGTCTTAATAACTGAAACCGTTTTGGTTTACCAAACTTCCAAATGAATATGAAATAGAATCTGCTCTGGTCCAAGCGAGCGAAGTTAAAGGTATGTTACACGGATGCAACTTTTCTTGCGACCTGCAATGCAATTGTAATTTTGAGGGAAGTTAATTTGTAAAGAATGTTCAAAATTCTCAGAAAACGTTATCGATCGTAAGAAATGTTCGTATTTGTCAACTTTAGATGCCTCAGAAGTAGAATTGCATTGCATGTTGCAAGGAAAGTTGCATAGCGCCTTACGTCAGTTGCGCCATTGTTGTACAGTATAAGCAAAACGGATGCCCAGAGCAGACTCCACCTATATATAAACTGTCATGATTTAAAAGCACTATATGGGCCCATAGTAGGTGTGTGCCAAAAAAAAAATACCTGGAATCTCTGCTTCAGATCCATTCCGTATGGCGACGCTACCAAACAAATGAATTCTGAAATCTCTCCATTGAAAAAGATCCCCGTTGACATTCATGATTCCAGATGCCATTCCTTGAATAATATTAGCTGTTAAAAATTGCCGCCAGAGATTCAACCCTGCAAGGCTTCCTTTAAACGCCTGACTGCTTTGGAAAGTCCCGCCATGAGAATCCATTTCCTGACCAAGAACCATGATACCGTTGGGGGGGATCCAGTAGGCGTTCGCCGTTTCGTAGGATGTTCCTAGCAATTTCCCATCTTTGTAAATCTCGATCAAACCACCCTCGCTCCTCCACTGTATGCAATAGAAATGCCACGAATCGTATGCAGAGATGACAGGTCTATAAAAGGGATAGGAATGGCTTAATTGAACATTTATACCTATATATTCCATAATAGATTTGTCGAAAGCGAAGTAATTTTGGCTGGATATTACCCGAGACAGAGTTTACTACAAGTAAATTACACTGAAAATTACACAAATGAATATTTCCACAACTTTGTTGTCGCTGATTTCATTTCTATTCCACGTAAATAATAAAAATGCATTGGCAGTGCAAAATGAATGAATTTGAAATAAATGTTTACTATTTTTTCAATATAGTTGGTCAAAATTAACAACCTTAAAATGAAATAGAATTTTGAAGCCATCAATTATTTTGCGCGAAATACCGATGAAGAATGAGACTTCAACAAACTACTCATCAGCTCTTTTATGACTTGTTTTAAGGCTAGTTTCCACTCAGGAAAAATCTCCTTTGGATCGGAACGGACAGGAAAATTTCCTTTGTCGGTGACACATTGACCAGATACCGATTTATCTAAGAATTATTACATTATTATTGCCAATAAAGATTATTATATTCCTATCGAAATTGCATATATAATGTCAATTTGAAAATTGCAATTGCATAAGACACATAATTATACGTATATATAATTATACTATTAATTATGCAATTTTGCTATCCAAATAAGTGAATGAATTCTTAATATAATATTAAAATATTCTTCCAGGGAATAGGGAAAAGAAACCTGAATAGTTGATGTGAGTATAAAACTTGGATCAGTGTAAACTGGAGTCCTCGCCAGCCGTTCATCACTAACCGTGTATGGTCCCACTTGCCGGCGATGACAAGGCCTAATGCAAAGTTTCTATAAAAATAGACTCCAAACTCAGAGTTTTGTGTTGCACTTGAATAGGCAAGTAAAGAACTTTCTGGTGCGAAAAACCTTGCCCAAAAACAAGCGGAAAAGACTGTAATTTTATCTTTAAAAATGTTTTCTATCCTGACGTAGTTTTCGACTGACTTCTCGGAAAAGAAATCCATCTGATACACAGCCTCTGCCCCTGAAAAAGGTTGATAAGGATTAATCATAGGATTAATAAACATTGGGTAACAAGAGACGCCTGATACATGCAACAGGGTGTATAAAAAAGTGGACAATTATGTATTTGCCTATAAATCAAACATGCAACAAATTTTTTGTAGCTTTTAGTTAACAATATATATGTACTTAAAGGTTTTCTTATGATCCTAACACTTAATACCATTACAATAAAAAATAATTGTGAAATGCAAGAGCAACAGACAGAAATTGCACGGCGTACTTCATTTACACCGTAATGTCTTTGCGTGAGATACGTTCAAGGTGTTGTTTGTATTTATAACACCCCCCCCCCCACACGGGATTTCTGGTGTTAAATTGAATGTGGTTTACAGACGAGCATCAGCGGCATGAGTATGCGTACTGATTCCGTGGTAAAAGAATGCAAAATGATTCACTGTATATCAACGTGCTATCTGAAGAGCATTGTCTTGTAAAATATAATCTTTCTTGGTTCACAGGCTGATTTCCCATGCATGCACATTAATTATAAAGCTTTTCGATGAGCAATATGTAATAATCTCACGATCATTTGCGCGCTCACAATTTAAGATTTGGAGTGGCAATCTTATATAACCTTCACGAACGACTGTGTGACAAGTTATACACTTACGGGAATTTCGTAGATCACTTGGTGTTTCTTGGAAGTCAATACCTGGTTCAAACTTTGACTTTATTTCATACCAGGCAAGGACATTACCGTTTTCAAACAATGGTCCTTTGTTTGCCATTAATGATAAAACATGTCCATCAATTTCATAGTTCCATATATTGAGTCTGCTTTGCGAACTACCGTTCGTGTATCCATCTGAAATCAACGCATAATTTGTGCATATAAAAAAAGGTAAACACATCTATCTATTTCAGCTACATCGTAGCCTATTTTCATGGAAAGGCGGTTATAGCAATCAATCGAGTTTAATTCATTTGATTTTCATTTGTGATGATGTAATTCGAAATGTTACTTGACCCCCCCCCCCCCCTCAAAAAACAACAACAATTAGAATCACTATTGCTGACTAAAAATGCTTCTTAGTTCTCACCTAAGAGAAGTTGTCCTCCAGCAGGAATTGTAATATGTGAAACTACATCATGCATGATAGAAACCAAGGACCCATCCAAATATATCGTCCAGTGGCCTGTATCATTGGACCACGATGTAGCAATATGATGCCAGTACGCTGGAGATTCATTCCAAAACCATGGAATCCTTGCTTCTCTTTAAATTTTAAAAGATTATATCAGAAGATTATATCACAACATTTCGCAACGAAACTTGATCGGTTTTTTTGCATTTCCTTGTCCAAAGGTAGTCTATGATCAAAAGGTAGTCTATGATGCAAACGTCTGCTATTGAGCCAAAAACGCCTCTAGAATTAGCCGAAAATGAACCCGTTCTACACTAGGTGAATTTGCTCGCGCGAACAGATTTTTTCGCAGAAAAATGCGGCCACATCACCGGATTTCAGATATCGCTTCGCGTCGCAAATTCGGCTTGTGGAAAACAGGCTTTATTCCGTCAAAGTATATCACTCTGTTATTTAATTGTTGGCAAGATTTCATCCAGTGCATTATATACCTATTTCATTTACCGCTTGCGCAAGCCAAACTTAAAGTTAATTAAACTTTTATCAAAAGCTTGCCTGATCTTTTCTCCATTTATTTCTAAGGTGAGAATTTCCATCCCGAGGTTAAATGAAAGCAAGCGGATTTCTCCCGCACTGATTGTGTACTCAAAAAATTTCACAGATTGTGTTTCCAACGACCTTGCTTCGCATTTTATCCACGTTGCGATTGTGAAAGCCCGAAGACTTGTGATATTTTCCAACTTTACGTCCTTCAGATAACTATTGACGGATACTGTAATGTCATAGTTCGGGTCTGAAAAAAAAGTCAGACGCAGCGCTCGGTGAGTTGGCAGCGCGAGAGAGGATGACAACGGATCCCAAGTCACAATTAACTTACTTTTTCTAAGTGGCTTACACAAACTTGGCTGTTCTTTAACGATCATGCCACTATAGCTGTGCTTAAGAGAACTCCAGTTGATGATATCTCCAAATGCATTATTTGAACAATTTCTGTTTGTGAATTTCCTAGCAAGATCAGCAACAGAACTGTGAAAATCCCTCCATACACTCAATTGGCTCAGTTTGCCAGAGAATGAACTATTGAAAGTACCAGTTGTGCTTTGTAGTTTCTGACCTATCACGAAGATACCACCAGCTTTCAATGGTACCATCGAACCAAGGTGGTCTCCACTGTAGACCAATGTACTGTCAAGGAATATAGCATATTCTCCAAGAGACCACCATGCCCCCACGTGATGCCAATAGCCGTCGTTGATTGGTGGCACATAAAAATGCCTGTATTAATGTCGATGCAAGTACTCTTAGCTCTAGAATGCCACAGGGCCGTAGCTAGAAGCTTGATTAGGGAGGGGTGTATATTTATAAATTCATCTTATGCCCGACTGATTTCTTTTGTATGTGCTATTGTTTCTGCGGTAGATAAATATGAATATATGAATATACACCCCCTGCCCCATGAAATTAAGCGGTCTAGCTACGGCCCTGGAATGCCATCTATCATTTAGGGGATTATTAATCCATCGAAAATCTCAGGTTGGTTGATACGTTTAGAGCCAAGCGCACACGCTAAGGTTCTAATCGCGGACTTATTGGTTCTTAGTGTGCTACGGGCTGGGCTGTCCAGTCCGGGCTGTCGCAAAAGATTTCAGCAGTCAGAGAGGTGTGAATGGAATAACAAATCTTTAATTAGCGCGAGGGGGGAGTTATTTACACCAACTTGGGTCCAGGGCAGCTGGGGATTTACTTTTTTACAGGTTTCTCTTCTTAAACAAAACAAGTTTCATACTTTTCTGACGATTGAACTCGAAGTATTATCTTTTCTCTCATCACCGCGAGTGTAAATTCTTTGTCATTTTCATCCACAGCGTAAGATAAAACGGTCATTTCCTCTGCGTCCAATGTGTTGATCCAAAACAGAAGTGTTATGTTGGACATCTCCGGCACATTGTTGTCATGCAAGATAAAGCTGTCCACGCTTTTCGATGGAAAATTCAGATCAAAATTTCCTGGATTCGCTGCTGGGAATTGAGATAGGCATATATAATTTATTAAATTTACCATCTGTTTTCCACTTTGATCGATGGCCAGAGCATGCAGGCCTCCGAAACAAAAACTTGCTCTTGGAATTTTGCCGCGTAGCTTTGTAGCCAGAAAAGTGTACGCCGACAACGCAAAAGATGTCGGTTCATTTCCTGCCGGAGAGCTCATATAGTTGCCAATTTCTTTCAAATAATTTTTTTCAAAATATTAATTTTTTTCCTGCTAGATATGATTGTAAAAAGGTATCTTCAACAATTAAATTATCAATTTCCCCGTTATTTTTTCTTCAAAAAAATTTTTATATTAAACGGCGGTTCGATTCCAAATTCAAAATATTAATATAAATTCAAATTGAAATTCGATCAATATTAATATTACTGTTTCAAAGTGTGAAAACTCATAGTAAATTTAACATTTGTTTGCATATTAAAGTGTTTGGAAGGGCTTCAAAATGTTGTCAGTAACATTTTTCCAATTCCAATACGAATTTCGCACAAAGGACGCGGAAAAGTATGGACTGAATAAAAAAATTGCATCGCGCGTAAAGAGCATAAATTTTTTAAATCATCAAATATCAATGTAGGGGGCGCATACATGCATGGGGCGTCGATCAGTACCTTTGACTTTCTCATCAATGCAGCTGCCATTATATTCCTGCCAAAAAAAATTCCCATGTAAGTTACACTTAATATTGTGATGAATTTCTTCTTGTAAATTCTAAAATAATTATACTGTGCATCATGGTCATGGTGTGGCAAGCCGACATTGTGCGGAAGTCGGTCAGTAATGGTTTATACCTTAATCGGCGCATTCAAATAGACGTAATCGTAAAAGCGATTCTTCTGCAACTCTGCCGAGGTATTATAGATGACATCGTGTAACATCTCACAAAGGCTAGTCTGTCCTTGCGGTAATCTTTCCCTGTAGTTCAGGGATCTACAACATGGCTCTTGTACACACGATAGTATACAATTAATTTTGCTCGAAACATCTGTCTTTTTCAGAACAAAACTGTTGAGGCGGAAACCTGTTATAAGAAAACAATCAAACCAATTTCATTCCATTTCGTTACGGCTAAATACGGCCCGGTTGAATAATTTTTCTCGGCTCAAATGAAACCACTGGCCCCGTGTCCAGAATATCATTCCTCCCGGGCATGGAAAAAACTGTTGCCTGTGGCTGTGTCATATGCACAAAGTTAAAGCTTCACCTGTCAGACCCAATAAGTTGCAGACTTGTAGTTTCATATGTGGCCCTATAATCGTGCAATATCACCGTAATAAAGTCTAATAAAGTCTGCTTAAAGTCCTACGAGATATATATTAAACAGATTCGGACTTAGAATGGAATCATGGAATCGTCAAGGACGACGCGAAAATACTAGAGGATAAATGGCGCAATGCACACACTTATATCGATATGGGATGTTATTTAATCGCAATTTGGGCCAAATCTGTCTATTATATCAATAGTGTCGTCAATACCTTCAAGACTGGCATTGAAGCAGAAATCTAAGGACTCAATTCCATATAGTAGTAATTCGAGCAGAAATATCCCAACGAGAAATTGATCTTGAAGCTTTACCATCTTGAGTTTAGGCGCACAACCGCACCAAATCCACGAAAATTTTTCCAAAAACTTCAATTTTGAGGTTTTCAACTGTTACGTCTTTTGAGTAGTACGAACCGTACGCGCACTAGTACTGCAATTAGCCACTGTTGCTTCACAAAAGTATTCCAACTGACGTATAAGCACCTGTAGCGTTGTTTATGATTCGATTATCAAAGATGTTAATTTTCTCATCGACTGCTGCTGTGATATCCGTTCAACAACATAGTATTGGTCAGGTCATAAGGGGAAGGAATTTCTCGTCTGTTCTCTAATTTCTCTTCTCTTTAGTCTGAAGTCGTGTGTGGTAACTAATCTCTTCGACTGAACACGTTTTTACCCACCTGCAGTCGTGCGTGCACTTTGCAACTCTGCGAAGGATGTTCAAATATCTGTATAACGATTAACGACTTGTAAAAGCAACGCCGATAGAGAATGCGTTTTATTGATGATTTGAACTTGAACGAATTTTCGCAAACATGGTAGTACACTGCTAGTTGAAAATGCAGTAGGAGACTACTTTCTAATATCCCTGATTGTGGTTCAGAATCTACCGAAAATAAACAGCAAAGCCATTTCGACGTTTTGACGTAAGGCCTACATTTGGAGATCATCTATTAAGTATGAATAACTCCAGCGGTTACTGAAACAAGGTCTTCTCAAGACGCAACGTCAAAAAATTTCTTCCTTATTTAGGCGAAATTTATATTAATAGACCAATTGCGAAACTTAGTAACCGCGCCTTCGTGCAACATGGAAACGAGGCTTATTATGCAAAAAAACAATATTTGTATTTTTTGCAGTACAGAGCTATTCGCCGAGTTATATGCCGTTTTTCGCCTTTGTTTTACATATTTTTCGATTCCTTTCAGCTAGGTTTCATCGTTGTTATCATAGTTTACAGGTTAGGAAGTTTTGCCTTTTAATTAAGGTGTTTTTGTGGTATTTTCATTAATCTTTTCGACTGCTTTCGTCGGGGAAGTATGGAAAAGGCCGACACAAACTCAGGTAAAAATTTAGTTTTTCCAAACTATTTCGTCTCAAGTTTTGAAAATGTATTTCATTTTTCTCCCTCTTATTTGTGCAAAATTTGGCGATATATATTTGGTGCAAAATCTATGTTTTTTTATGTCAAAAATTATTGAAAAGTGACAGTCAGATTATATAATTTTCAAACTTGATGACTAAAATGGCTTCATTTATTCAAATTTATTCACAAATATCACTGTATTTTTTTTTCTTTATACCACAGTAATACTGCTAAAATGGTCAAAAGTAACTGACTGAATGTTTTTGTTTATTTTCGTTTTAATAAAGTACAGACGATGCATAGCTTGCATGCCGGCCTGAAGGCCGAATTTTATAAAAGTCGAATTCGAATGCATCTGAGTTTGCATCTGAATTCTGCATTTGTGTTAGTACAAAACACTATTCTTTCTATCTACTACAATGCAATAGATGTTTAATAAGGGTGAACCAGAAATACTTGAAAAGGAAAGGATTCCGTTCACCATCGTAAACGGAAAAACACTTGCGAACTCCAGTTTAAATATTTTTCGCTTTCAGCTTTGCCATCATGTAAAGGTGTATCTTAAAAAACGCTGCAGCTCGCATTGTGGCTACCTTTATAGTATGTTATTGCGGGAAAATGAATATTCAAATGGCAATTCAAAATAGACAATGAGATTATGTCTTGGTTATAAGTATTTTACTATCCATGTCATGCATGTGTGTCAAGTTGAAGAGTTGTTTTGCTTTTCAGTCGGCATAACATCACATGTACTGTAGTCTATATACACAGGGAAAATAAACATAAAACTCCGTTGCTTATTTTATCTCTTATAGTTTCTGTCAACAGATTTCTACTATTTTTTTTGCTGAGCTGTAAAATTGCTGTCAAATTACATCTTATCGATCGATAAAATTGGTATAAAAAAATTTTAGATGAGAAATGTGAACATGGTGGTTGGTTCGATCGTGACTTTTCAATAATCCTTGTCACAAAAACATAGATTTTGCACCAAATATATATCGCCAAATTTTGCACAAATAAGAGGGAGAAAAATGAAATACATTTTCAAAACTTGAGACGAAATAGTTTGGAAAAACTAAATTTTTACCTGAGTTTGTGTCGGCCTTTTCCATACTTCCCCGACGAAAGCAGTCGAAAAGATTAATGAAAACACCACAAAAACGCCTTAATTGAAAGGCAAAACTTCCTAACCTGTAAACTATGATAACAACGATGAAACCAAGCTGAAAGGAATCGAAAAATATGTAAAACAAAGGCGAAAAACGGCATATAACTCGGCGAATAGCTTTGTACTACAAAAAATACAAATATTGTTTTTTGCATAATAAGCCTCGTTTCCATGTTGCACGAAGGCGCGGTTACTAAGTTTCGCAATTGTTGGTCTATATTCTGGTAATTTTGCATGGTGACATCAAATTATTTTAAATGACGTAGGCTTTTGCCAAACTGAAGTTCATTTTTGCAAGATGATGTTATTCCAGGCTTGTTTAGTTAGATCGGACGAAAGTGACGAAACGACCACACGTTTTGTGCAGTTCTTTTGAAGCACATTTGATGACATTTACAATTACATCACATGCACTTTTTAATATTTTAGGAGTCTCGTTTTCTTTAATCTTTATTATATAGTAAAGTGTATTTTGAAAAGTAACAAATTATTCAAATCACTTACGATCGCATGTGTGTTGCCAAGCCAGTTTTGCCCAGTGGTTTGGCCTGTTTAATTAACCTTGGTTGGCGAACCCATTGCCTTATCAGTGGTTCGACTATGCGTTCATATGCGTACCTATTCTTTATTCCAACCCAGTCTCCAGAAGCACTAGCGGGCAAAACAAAAATGGCGGAAACATTTTGCTGATTTAAAACGTCGTTTTCTACTTTTCAAAGACAAAATACGTAACAAAAAATGCCTACAAGGTGGAGAAAGATATTTTAAAACTTATTTCTAGTTTTGGTTTATATTTCCAGGCAATGAAGAACCTAATAGTTTTGTATCTTCTGTCTAATAGTGATCACGAAGAGAGGCGGTCGAGGCGCGAGGAATACCGAAATCGCCACGATGAAATGTCTTCATCGCAGGTTAGTACAGTTTTTCCTATAGGCAGCCTAAATCAATACCTTCGTTGCTTTACGTAGTTCAAGATTACCATATTTTCAGCAGGGATTGATATTTTTTAAGCTGAAGCTGGTATACGGTTGGTCACGTTTTATAATTGTAGACTTGTTGTACATAGTTAATATAGTGCAGTATTGGGCATTGGGCCATTACATTTACAAACTGAACCCCAAGCTGTCAAAGACCTCTTCCAAGAAATGAAACAAATCCAAGATTTATTTCTTTTGAAGAGTGGCAATTTCTATCATGAATTTTCTTTCCTGGACTTGAATTGATACCCTTTTCTTCCTTCCCCTCTCCCACATGTTGCAATTTTTCATTAATACTTAATTTGCTTTACCAATTCCACTCTCCATTCAGCATCAGAACATTTTGCATTAATATTATTAACAAGAGATTATATAGCACTGTTTATATACCTGTGACTAATATAGTGAATTTGTATGAACATTTTTTAATAGCGGAAAAGAACTCATGAAGAGAATACAAAAGATGAGAGACACAAGGAAAGACATGAAGAGCGAAAAAAAAGGCGAGACAGGTCGAGGGAGAGAAAAGATGAAAGAGATAACAAAGGATATGACAGGGTGGAGAAGGATAAAGAAGAACAAAAAAAGAATGAAAATTCAGACGAAAAAGATGTTAAGAAACCTGATGAATTGGATAAAAATACTGATGCAAAGAAAAAAGAATCAATACTAACAAGAGCTGGTAATTAATCAACCATTTGTTACTAATTACCATATGTTATTAGGCATGTGTCACAAGGCAATTATAAATTAAAAAAAGGTAAAACATACTGAACATGTTTTGCACATAGCTCTCAGAAATATATTTATTGGATTTTTTTGTTGTCAAGGTGGTGCTTACATTCCTCCTGCAAAGCTCAAGATGCTTCAGGAACAAATTACTGACAAAAGCAGGTATGGTAATATTATGCTGTCAAATGGTAGTACATATTGTTTAAATTGAACTATCTTTTCAAGATATTAAGATTTGGTTTTTGCCTTACTAAGTTTAGAGTGCACACTGTCACACAGTTAGAGCTATAGGAAGAAGTCTTTTTATAGTAGAGTCTAAGAGTTAGGTTTTTCCACTTGACTTTGTATGGTTTACCTGCTAAATACATTTTGTTTCTCGTATTCAGTACTGAGTACCAGAGATTAAGCTGGGAGGCATTAAAGAAAAGTATTAATGGTCTTATCAATAAGGTAAACTTAAAACACTTTGCACTAAGAACAACATAAATGTCCTAATCTAGAAATCTCTTTAGGTTAATACATCAAATCTTGGAAATATTGTAAGAGAACTTTTCCAAGAAAATATTGTTCGTGGAAGGTGAGATTGTTAAAAATTGTAGCCTAAAAACTGTATAATGTATTAGTTACAAATTTAAACAATATACATAAAGTTATCAAATCTAATCACTTGTTGTCATGCTTGCAGAGGTTTACTTGCACAAGCTATTATCAAGGCACAGTCCAGTTCACCAACCTTCACTCATGTTTATGCTGCCCTTGTGTCTGTTATTAATACTAAGGTAAACACAATATTTCATTTAAATCCATTTTTTCATAATTCTTCATGAGTTTGGTATTTTGTTGAATCTCCAATATGCATCTGATGATTGATATCTGAATTTTGATTAGTTTCCAAAAATTGGTGATCTCATTTTAAGAAGATTGATTTTACTCTTCCGACGATCATACAGACGGAATAACAAGGTACTGTTGTATCACAGTTTGCTTATAACATTATTTCTTTCAAATATTTAATAGTAACAGATTGGGTTCTTTTGTTTATTTTAGGCTATTTGTCTCTCTGCTACCAGATTTATCGCACATTTAATTAATCAACAAGTTGTAAGTATTTGTTGTTTATTAATGCTGCAATAGTCAGTATTCAGTATTGCGATAATATGTTCATTTCAACAGGAAATAAATTGATCTTAACTCTGTTCCCTACAGTACTGGATGTCTAGAGGGAAAATCAGTTGATAATGCTGTAGATTTGTATTGTCAGGTTTTGTATTCAAACATGCTCTATACTTGTTCTAGGCTCATGAAATTCTAGCTTTGGAGATTCTAACATTACTTCTACAGACACCAACAGATGACAGTGTTGAATTATCTGTAAGTTCTTCCTCTTCAATACAGTTTCTTGGTAATTGTCCTGACTTAAATGCTTAGCCAGATTTTTTGTTTTTGCTAGCAACATCATAATGTAAATTCCTTTAGATTGCTTTCCTGAAAGAGTGTGGAATGAAACTCACCGATGTTTCCCCAAGGGGAATTAATGGTAATATATTCTCAAATGACTATAAATATACATGTACATAGTTTAATCTTGGCTTTCAAGTTATTTTGTTATCTCTTCACTGCATGTCTCTCTCACCATTTTTTTAGCTGTATTTGAACGCCTCAGAAACATTCTACACAACTCAGAGATTGAAAAGAGAGTTCAGTATATGGTTGAAGTTATGTTTGCTATTAGGAAAGACAAATTTAAAGTAAGACTTCATAATGTTTAAAACACGTTATTGGCGAGGTCATGTAACTTATTCAGTTGAAACTTGTGGGACTGAACCCTCGAGTTGTGTTTTTTTATTTTAATCGAACTAAATTATGTTATTTTCTAGGATCATCCTTCTGTAATTGAAGAACTTGATGTTGTTGATGAATCCGACCAAATTACTCATTTATTACGTCTTGAAGAAGCTGGAAAAACTGAAGATATCTTAAGTAAGTCGTTCATGATGTCTGCGTATGCACACGCAAAAACACGAGACCTACAGCTGGAACTTCGACAGGCTGATACCAGACCTGTAAACAAACTTGTATCAGACCAGCAACGCACCTAGTTTAGACTTGTACCACAGAGCCAGAATTCTGATGGTCTGATATAGACTAGCTGCACGTGTCTGTTCACGTGTCAAACACTTATTGTCTTTTGCACTTGTCTGTTCACGTGACAACACCTTTAACATCGACGTGATGACTTTGCATCGACGTGAGACTGAGAATCCATCGTGTGTTTTTTTCTTTTAGATGTTTTCAAGTTTGATCCAGATTATCTCGCTAACGAAGAAAAATACAACCAGATCAAGAAAGGTTCGCGGCATTTATGATTTCGTTTCATCATCAGGAATGGGTATTAGATATTTCTCATTACAATGAATAATTGTCTATTACTAGAGTTACTTGGTGAAGGTTCGTCTGATGGTGAATCCAGTGACGAAGGCTCAGAAAGTGATGACGAAAACAGCGACGACAACGCAGGTAATTCCTTTCACTTAGTAAAGACCTAAGAACGGACGCTTTGTTGTTCTTGAAAAATTACATGCACTCTAAATACAGCTTGTAAAGACCTTTGTCCTCTGAAACCCTAAAGCGTGTAAAGCTTAATGGAAGAACAGGTTTTAAGCTTCTTAAAAGTTGGCAAGTAAAAAATTTTCATTGGGATATATTTCACCTTGTTTCTTATAGTTTAGTCGAGGGCTTATTAGTACTGTAATTATCTTTATATGGGTATAAATATGGCATTGGACAAATTAAACTGGAAAATATCAGCCTTAAGTTATTCCCAATGCCACTGGTATCCATGCATTGTTGACGCTATGTATTAACTTTCTGTTCAGAGCTGTATTGACGGTCGAACCAGTTGGGTTCAGTGGTTCAATTTTCCTTCTATTTTGACCGTAAAACCTACCGCTAATGTAATAGACACTATCCGCACTAGCACCGTAATAGTAATACGAGCACCATGCATTATCAAATATTTCATGTTGTTGCAGAGGAATCAGAAAAAATGGACATCTTGGACCAAACAGAAACTAACCTTGTTGCCTTGCGTCGCACCGTTTATCTCACTATTCAATCAAGGTATATTGTCATGCATTTTGATAGAAAAATCCCTTTCCCTTTCTGGTGTAATCATGTTTACTAAAGATTTGTTGAATCCGACTTAATTCTTTCATCTAATAATCAAGATATTCGTGCGATTACAAATATAAGTGATACGGTTTCCCTCAACCCGCTTTTGTGCTCGTTTTTTCCCACCTCCGTTGGGCCGACTGTTTAAAGCTATAGCTTATCGCTAACCCTGAGTTAAATTTTAATCCGCTGTTTTAGTTTATGTACTTCTGCACCGCCGCTTGTTTCAAAACTTACAAAATATGATTTATATTGAACCATTTACTCATGGAAAAAATGTTCAACTTTTATAAACAACCGATGAAAAAAGTTATTGTGAAAATATGCGAACAATTGCATGCCCAGAACAGTAGGATTATCAATTGTTGCTAGGGCGTCATCTGCTGTTACTCGATTATAAGTACGGTGCGTGTTTGACTATTTTTGAAAGACAAAAATACATGCACGTAAAGATAAACTAAACCTACCTATAACTTGGAACTAATCAAATAATTGGTTTTTATATGTTACATTAAGAATATGAAATCAGTATAAAACATACCTTTTTTATATAACCATAGGAGCAGCGTGGCAGCGTCTTCAAACAACTTAGCATCAAATGTGGTATAACAACTGCCTATAACTCTCCTGACGAAGGCCCTCAGGTCGAAACGTCGAGAAGTGTTTTGTCTGTTTAGGCAGTTGTTATACCACATTTGATGCTATATAGCTTTTTTATTCTTAACATTTTTGCTGGACATGTTACAAAGCATGACTAAACTAAAATCCATCGTTATCACCTTCTTTCAGTTTGGATTATCAGGAATGTGCTCATAAAATGATGAAAATGCAAATTCAACCAAGTCAAATGGTAAGACTAGTTTATAGACAAAGAACAGTTTGTTCATCGGCCCAAAAAGGTGCCATTGGGTGACTCTAAATTTAGGCTTAGTTTACCATATCTTAGACTAAGGCTATTATCAGTCAGATAACCCACAGTTTAGGTGACTATTATCATTACTTAGTACTCATGCAAAGTGTCATTTTGAGTCGCATCTTTAATTTTGTTTTTCTTATTCGTTCAGGGGGAAGTATGTAACATGGTTATCGACTGTTGTGCTCAACAGAGATCTTATGAAAAGTTTTTTGGACTTCTTGGACAGGTGATCGTCGTCATATGACTTTTGTTTGACGGCGTTTCCAACTTTTAAACTAAGTGATGGGATTAGATAATGAGGACCGGTTAGGGTACGATTGGTGGTGGTAAAAATACTGCTAAAACGTGATCCGTGTTCATCGTTTATTTCGTCTGGTCCTTGTTGTGTCATTGTAACGTTTTGCATTTTGTCTAATTCTAGCGATTTTGTCAACTCAAGAGAGAATATGTCGATGAATTCGTTCGACTTTTTAAAGATCAAGTAAGCGCTTAAAACATGTTTTAATTAATTCAGTCAAGGAAGGAAGGGTCCGAAGGGATATTCAAACCATGCATGAAGGACAACGTTTCGTCGAATACCGTCTTACAGTTACAACATTTGAGATATATACCGCATGCATCTGTTGTATCTACACCGGGTGCAATATTTAAGTCATTCTTTTTGGCTAGTTAGCACAAAGCAATGAACTTTTTTTAGAGCAATGGATTGTTAGAGTCAGAAGAGTTAGAGTCAGAAACTTGCAAATTCCTTTTTTTGTATAGTACGACACGATCCATAGATTGGAGACGAACAAGTTAAGAAATGTTGCGAAGTTTTTCAGCCATCTTCTCTACACTGACGCAATACCTTGGACGGTGAGTTTGAAAGACGGCTAAATTCTATATACGTAATGTATTGTGACTGTTATTGTTATATGCATGTAATTCTAATAAGGCTCTTTTATGAAACACTAAAGGTCTGATACAATGATTCGTTTTACCACTGGATCATTTATCATAAACCTTGCTAAATCTCTAGGAATTATATATATGCTATTTACTCCATATTACTGAATTGTTTCATGTTTGTAATACACATCACATTAACAGCAATAAAATTAACAAAAAGTAAACGGCTGTGTGTCAGAACTGTTAAACATATAAAACAAGGCATTAAACAGTAAAACAGAGGTGAACGGATCAGGACCACGCGAACGGTTGGGTGGGACGTTAAAGATTGGATTTGGGTTTAATATAACATTGTTGCATTTACAAAAAAATAAAACAAGACGATAAACAGGCAAACAAAACTCTTTTGCTCTTGTACACAGGTTCTTGCTGATATCAATCTGAACGAAGAAGAAACGACCTCTTCAAGGTATGTTGCATGATCGCTGTAAAATTTTGTTCTTTTAATGTCATTTTAGACAACTCGAAATGCTATTGTGCTCGGTATTGTGTGTTGAACTGTGTTGATCTATGACATTTTAATAGTGAAATAGCCTTTATATGGCACGACACATGTGAAGTGCATGGTCGTGCATTTCACTAATTCTCATTTGTTTTCTATTACAGTCGTATTTTTATAAAGATTTTATTTCAAGAGTTATCAGAATACATGGGCCTTCCGAAACTGAATGAGAGACTAAAAGATGAGTAAGTCGTAAATCAGTCTTTCCTAGTATATCGAATATTCCATATAAAAAAATGTCGTATTACTTGGACCCCACCTATGTTCTTTTAACGAACCATTCAGTGGAAACAACATTGAAAGGAGATGCCAAACATTACATGCTGTAGCAATTTTTGGCTAGGTTCCTGGTAGGATTGCCGTAAGAATTTGATTCCATACAAACGACCTGAGTTGCATATTTTTCTGTATTTCCTATTTGCATGGTCTTTGGTTCATTTTGATCTGAAACTATGCTTCAGTCATATCTTAATTTTTATTCTCTATTCCTCAAAGGACACTGCAGATGTATTTTGAAGGACTGTTTCCGCGCGATAATCCTCGAAACACGCGATTTGCTATCAACTTTTTCACAGCAATCGGTCTTGGTGGCCTTACGTATGTATTATATTTACTTTTTAACATTCTATATGTATACTTTTTGTTTTTGCGAAACTTCGAAAAGTACTACTTTTTTCTCCTTCAGAGATGGTTTGCGTGAGCATTTAAAGAACGCACCCAAGAAGACAATCTCTAAACCCGAGTCTTCAGACTCTTCGGACAGCAGTGATTCCAGCGAGTCCAACAGTGAAGATTCCAGTGATAGTGAAGGTATTCTCCTGTTGCCAGCCTGCATGGTTTTCTCGTATTACCCACAAGGGTGATTCTCCGGTCGCACACGGGACAATACTATTTTATTTTGTTACATGCAAAATATGAAGCCTGAAGAAACAGCAATGTGCGTCACTTGTGTGACCAGAGAATCACCCACAAGCAATTCTCGCAAAGCCAACGAATTTGCGGGAAGAACCGAGTTTCAAACGAACGTGTTAAATATGAAGATATCGTAGCCAGGTTTACACACAATTGAAATCAAGCAGACGTTCTCTGACTAAACTTTTAATTCTTTGCGAGCTTTCGACTACCAAACCGAAGTCTTCCCAGTCAAAGAGTTAGGTATAGTTCAAAGCTGGTTGAGGTTTGAAAGTTTCGTCCGAGGACGTCTGTTTCATTTAAGGCTGCTTTCTGCTGTGACACCCACAGAGAAATTTACATTCTCCTTGGTCAACGAAAAGGTATACTAAAAATGCGCGAGAAACTAAGCTCTTTCGATTTATTTACTTTTTTCAAAGATAACATATATAAGGATTTAGGATTATAAGGATACGTGCGTGCGGTAAGTGGGAAACAGCCCTCGACGGATAAAGCTGGTTCGAGATAATTAAAACGAGTTCAAAGTTAAGAAATAAGTTAAGACTTAAAGAATAAGAAAGATGGAATCTATTCTCCCATTTCACAGATAGTTCATCTTCATCAGAGGAGGAAGACAGAAAGAAGAAAAGGTAGCTATGAAATAAAAGTACATATGCAATATGCATTTGATAAAGTTGTCTTGTTGCCTAAAACAAAATTGCTCAGATTTGTTCACGCGACGCGAAAATCAAAATCTGGCAACGGGATTGGTCTGCGAATTTTTCTCTATCCAATCACATCGCTGAGTTTGTATAGCTCTATTAGAACACCTGGGGCCGGTTGTTAAAAACCGGTTAGCTTAACCCTGGGTGAAAGCAAATCTTTCCATTAATTTTTTTTAATCGCTTGTAAGCAAACTTGACCATATATTATTATATTTTGTGAAGTGAAGTTTGTGAAAACGAATAGCGGTTCAGAAGCACTTAAAACCAAAAACGGTGGTTTAGAATTTAACCCAGGGTTAGCGCTAATCCAGCTTTGAACAACTGGCCCCTGGTCAGATAGAGACTAAGGCTATATACGCTCATTGTATAGATCGGGCAAATAATTATGAACCCGTGCTCGAATTTCTACGGTTTCCAAGTGAACGTAGCCAAAATTATCCCAAAACTTCGTTTGACAAAACTGCTCTATTTTAGGTCACGACGCAAAGAGAGTTCATCAAAACATCATCCAGAGCGATCATCAAAAGGAAGGCACTCTGACGGTAATTCCTCAAGGAAGAGGAGATAGAAGGTACACTTTTTGGTTATATTTCATAAATTTGTCAGCGGTCTGGTGTGCAAAATGCGATGGTTTTATCGCATACGATTCTTACCTCGGCTTATGTAATCGAATAAACTGGCATACACGAGCGTCTTCCATGCCTCCTCCTCCTCCTTTGATTCTCAAATTTCATTGTCCCTGTCATGCATCAGGCAACAATTTACTACAACCACTGAACTATATTGATAGCACTGTATTGTCCCTAAAGAAGGGACTGCGCGGGTGGGGGAGGGGGGTGGGCGTTTGGTACGAAATATTGCAAGCGTCATATTTAAATTTTTCTCATCAGTGAAATGAGAAAAAATATGGCAAGGGCACTCGTTAACATCCACCAAAATGACAATTAATTTCGAGAAAGAAAGGCTAAAATTTTAATAGATATTATATATATATGGTATAGTTATTTTAGCAATGATAATGGCTAATCTTCATTCAGTCTTACAGTATTATCTTCTATAACTATTGGTAATTCACTCTCTAGTTTGTTGTGCTTCAACACGCTTCTTTGTAACCGCGGAGACCGGGACGGATGGTCACTTGTTTCATTTTCAGGGGACATAAAACTAACCGATAGCCTTCTCTGAAACTTCGAGTCCTTAGGTTTGGAAGAACGTCTGTGACCTAATTCCAACTCCCCAGGTGCTGTCGCGGGCACTGGACTGTCGTATGGTGATCGAAACGAATTCCTTCGTGTGTTTCGTTGTATTGTCGACCATTGCGAAGGGTCAAATATTGCTTCGTTAGTTGACAGACTATTCGAACGCGATTGCGGTTCCGACATGGATAACGCAAATAATTTTTTACTTGATAAATTGTTGGGCAAGCTTCGACTCAGAGCTATTGTATGCCGTCTTTGTTTCAACTTCATTGCTAGTATGGTCTTACGCCAGGTAGTACCTTCTGACGAGGAATCCGAACTCGGTGCCGGTGGGGTTTTAACTCGTGGAGGGGCACTTTTCCGATACGAACTGGCGGTTTCTTGTTCATACAATTTGTACACTGGAATTAAATCTGGATATCTGTAAAAGCTTTCTTCTGACTTTGGCTGCTTTTCAGGCCTCAGTTTAGAAAATCTTCCCGATGAAATGAATAAAGGGTAACTTACATATCCCGACGGGTTTTTTTGGATAGCACGTTTCAGAGTGGGGTTACTGATTGATAGATTTGTACAGTCATTAAGTGCAACGTGGGATGTTGAAGGATTCGTGATGGATTGTTTCCTGATGGCGGTATATATAGGAGATCCTCTGAGAACGCACCGGTCCATTGATGTGTCATGCTGCCATTCTTTCGCGGTCTTTCTGAAATGTCTATCTCGTATTTGTGTCGAAGCCTTTCCTACCTCAACCAAACACTTAGCAATGGCGTCCTCATGAAGTAGTGTAGCAAGAATAAGCGGTGTGTTCCCGTCATGATTGCATATATCTACAGATAGATCATACTTTCTTAAACTCTGCACCATCTTTTGTACGATTCGATCATTCCTTGTGAACACGGCCAGCATTAATGCGGTGTTACCAAAGCCATCCTTCATATTTATATCAAAGTTTCCTGCATACTCCAAAAACCGGCTCACGTTGTTTTCCTGTTCATTTAGAACAGCATAGTGCATGGCGTTCAGTCCATTCTCATCCGATAACTCTATTCTCGCTTTATACTTGAGCAGAAGCTTACAATACTTTCCAGCGCTCTTCTCTGTCGGAAGACAACAGGCACTCATCAGCAAGGTTCGCCGTTGAAGATCGCGGTGGTCTGGGTCTAGCCCGTTCTTGAGGAACAACTGAACTCTGGTATAGTGATTCAATTGGATTGCATCAAATGGTTGTAAACCAATCCTTTCGTGTATAAAGGTATTTCGTTTTGATGCCATTCTCGCGGGTGAGTTCTTTAAAACTTTATACTTTTCGTATAAATGCACGAGCTATCTTTTTATTGCTTGGACAAGTTGTAGTAATTTACCATCGTGCTGTAATTTGATGGTTCATAAAGGTAGTTTTGTATTGTTCTCTCTTTCCAAGAAGCTTCTGCGATATTTTGTGATGATGTTTATCTGCTAAAAGCTCTAGTTTTATGACTAGCTAGCAAACTCCTACGATTTATCCGCCAATAAAAATATACAGGATACGCAGTTCCAGTGTTACGATCTTTTGATACGATACGTTGAGAACACAGTGTTCGAATTGGCGAAACTTCGTTAGGAGATGTCTCCCAGTTTACTCAGTTCTTGAGAAGGAATGACGATATTGCTACGGTCCTATATAAAATGATGTTTGGGTCTCTATGCTACTCGCAGAAATATGACAGAAAGGGAAGTTGTCGCTCTATAAACACCTAGAAAACATAGAAATATCACTATGGCGACTGGCCGCAATGTTTTTAAACATGACCTGCATGCTGTGTTTAATAACAGATAGCGTTCTCATTAGAATAATTGTGGCATAGCAGGTGAAATGAAAAGAGCCCTTACCTCACCGCGAAAGAAAGTCCTTAAAATTGCTTTATAATGGCAGTTGATGATATATCTTCACTTTTATTTGCTTTCATTTAAAATTATACGACAGGGATAATTCATTTTGACACTCAATTTCTTAATTTAGATATGCATTAAGGCCGGAGGAGTTTGATAAACATGCATGGCCGAATTCTTGTCTCTTTTAAACATATAATAACACTGATATCAACCGATAAAGAAAGGAAAATAAAATCGTAATGAATCGTAATCGTTTCTGCATGTGTTCCGCAGGATTTTCATCCTTAAACCCGTTACCGGAGACGTGCCTGAGGGAGCCGCATTCCTATTACAATTAATATTGTTTTAATACGTATTGTTTTAATTCAGGAAAGCAATGAAAACTATTGGGGTAAATAAACGTTGCTATTAACGTTTTAAGATCATATCAGTATGTTTGAATATAATATCTTTCCTTAAAACAATATGCATGCATGTTGGGTCCTAAATCCCTTTTTTATTATGCAAACATGATGGCAGCATTTTCCCGTCAGACTTAAAGAGTAAAATTATTTTCATTTGTTTCCGAACTTTAGAAATTATCATGTCGAATGAAGCAAATGGATGAACATCAGATGAAAGTGACCACTATAATTTTCGTGAAGCAAGAATTTATCGGTCGGATGATGTGCTTAACCGACTGACTTCGTATTTCTTGTTCGGTCAACTGAATTCCTAAAGGATGAAGTGAATGATATAAACATTGATATAAACCCTTTTTTCTAGTCTTGATAGCTTTTCCTGAAAGTTGAACACTGTGGTCTCCGTGTGCAGAAAAAAAGGAGAATAATACAAAAGATTTTTTCACTTTGTACAGAAAATTAAAATTTCCGTTCAGATATGTGTATATATATGTCTATGTCCTTGAAGTGATTTTGTGCTTACCCGAAGTTTGAAGAAATTTAGATGCGATTGAATATTGTTTTAGAAATTTTCGCCTGCGTAGCCAGTGCTGCATGGAAAAAGTATCAAAACCTGTGAACCCAGTTCCCAGAAAATATTCGAGTTTCACAGAAAGTTTCCCAGAGAATATATTGATCTTTCCAGTAACTCTTTTTACTTAAATGTATCACAGAGTTTACAGAACGTTTTAATGTTTTTAACACCATAATGAGGCTTAATGGCAGCTATGTGTAACGGATTCGATTTAAGAAGATATTGGTGTCCTAAAAATATTTTTCGTTTACCATGGCCATGCATCAACAAATAGAAACGAGAATTTATAGAAAGTCTTTACAGACATCTCCACAACACTAAATTTTATTTGTGTGGGACCTTTATGCAACATGACCGACATTAGCTGCAATGATTCGTAGCAGATGCCGCGAGCACCCCGAAGGCCTGCCATTCTTACTATACAGGGTGTCCCAAAAAAAACGAAAACTATTGAAATCACCCTTAACAATGCCATTGTTAGAGTTTGAATGCCTAAGCACTCTGTTGGGCCCACAAGTGTATAAATCAGGGTTGCCATAAGCATTTTTATGCATGCATATGATGCTGCAAAATTTACTTGTTCTTAAAAATGATATTTATTAACAATATTTACAATTTGCAAATATGGATAACATTATTTAAATGTGCATCTCAAGGACCATGACCTTCGACATGTCCCCTTTCTCTAGCAACACAAAGCATTTAGCATTTTATAAGTTGCATTAAATCCCCACGGGCTGAAATTCGTGAACACGGCATTCAGATTTTAACAATGAGTGATTTCAATAGTTTTCGGTTTTTTTGGGACACCCTGTATATCAGTCGTCCGAATCCCCATGTCCTAAGAGAAGGGACTGGCGAAAAAATTGATGCCCTGACGAAATTTTATGGTAGACATATAGTCCATACAAATATTCTCCCATGCAGAGCATGCATACGGATTAAATAAATAAGGTTCCCTTTGGTCTGTCTGTCAGCCGGTCAAATTGCCTAATCCAATTAAAACCTTGTGTCCACGTTAATTACTATTTTCAACTACGCTGCCCGGTATTTTTTGATTGTGAATGACCGATATTGAATATTCCTAAATTTAAATTGCTTTATTTATTATTGTATCGTGAGATGTGCCTTTGGAGATATACGATAAGAACTCATTTGCATGCGGCTTGCAGATAGGAAGACTAACACTTTTATATCTGCAGAGGCCACGCGATGAGTTACAATGTCATTGATTTCACACGGGTAGGAAAAATTAGCCATGAATTTTCGGGGCGGTATCTTGTTTCATACATATCTCATCGTGCACAGCCGTCAAAATGTAACTAAATATATACAATGGAAATAGAATTTACAACAGGTGTGTTCAAAGTGTTCCACTGCGCGTTCTTCCCCCAAAACCAAACAACTTATTAACAGCTTTCTTTTTAGCAGAAAGTTTTCTTTGCCGTTTTTCAGCCAAACGAGTTTTCCTCACTTGGAGTAAGAGTTCTTTGAAAACAGTTTGAACGTTGAAATAATCTTCGGCTGCGGAGACCTCAAAAAATACGCAATCCAGTCTCGCTGCTACTGACTTGCCTTCTTCGTACGTTACTTTCCGCGCACCAACTAAGTCACGTTTGTTGCCTAGCAATAGGATGATCACCTCAGAATTTTCTGAATCTCTGAATTCTGAGATCGTTTGGACGTAGTTAATAGCTTCATTAAAACTATTTGAGTCTGTTATTGAATACACAACGACACAGCAGTCACATGAGTTCAGCAAAGATGGCGTGAATTCTTTTAACTAAAAAGTTAGAAAATGCCTTGTTAGCATAGAACTTGAGAGGAACTATTATTTTCTACTTCTATTGTATTCATTCTATTTTATCACATTTCATTCTATGCTATTATTTTACATCACATTCCTTTCTCTAACTTTTCTTTTCTCATTGTACATTTCATTTTAACCGATCTCCATTCCGTTCATCACATGTCTTCATATTCAATCACATTCACCGCCAACATAATCCATCACATACACCAACATAATTCATCATATTCCATCTCATGGAAAACATAACCCATCACATATACCAAAATTATCCATCATTCTTTGTCTCATACCAACATAATCCATCACATTCCATCATTTTCCTTTTAAGATCATCACATGTCATCATATTCAATCACCTGCTATGATATTCCATTTTTCACCATCGCATTCCATTCCATTTCATTGTATACCATCGCATTCCTCCACTTACAAGCAATCATATTTCCTCGCTAATGCCTTTATTATCTCGAACATGCATGGTATGTATATAACCCGTTACACACCATCACATGTCATCATGTACTAAGACATGCCGCCATACCCATTATTTACCATCATGCCTTCACATGCAAGCAATCAAATTTCTTCACATGCCATCATAACCATTATATACCATTACCACAGCCTTTACATGCAGGCAAGCAATCATAAAGTAGGTCACAACAGGACAAAGTTCATATTCGCATGACATCATATCCCAAATCATATGCCATCACTCAATTTTACAAACTAATTTTAACTTACATTTGCAGGATAGTCGAGAATAGAAAACTTTAGGGTTTCGCCAGCTTCGTGTCGGATTTCACCACGATATGTTGACACTGAAATGTACAAATGACTTCACTGTAAGGGCTGTTTTCCACTGTCGCGTTTTTGTACGTAGCTACGCGTATACGCACGTAAAAGTTTAAAATCTTTCAAATGATAGATGCATAGGGACTAGGATTGAATTCGGCCTGATTTCGTGCGTTTATACAATTATACAACAACTTAGAAGGTTTTAAGCTTTTATACGGTGTACGTAAAAAACGCCACAGTGGAAAGCATCCCTAAGTGTAAGTCATCAACCATATACCCTACTGGCCTTGATTACTCGCTCTTTTTACTCGCAATATCCAATTCACGTTACACTAACCTGACGAACTGTCATATTCTCCGATAAATCTTTTCGTTAAAAGACGAACGGTTAAAGCTGAAAAAAAGTAAAATGTCTTTTATCAACCTGTCCCAAACACGAATTATATAATACCACAGAAACAAAATAGAGCTGCTAATTGATAATTGCTTCATGTATGACATATAAGGATATTCTTCATTCAAGGATGTAACTTCGAGAAACAATACTGTATCAAGTTTCCTTAATTGTCACATCGTTTTATCATCTCAAGCAGATGGCCTCTATTTTTTTGGTTTTTTTTACAAAATTCCGAGAAAATTCTATCATTGCACCTACGGCTATACACGTATTGATTTATAGCGAAAATTTGCGATAATGAATGAAACAGTATCGAAGTCATTATATTCTCTCTATTGAGTTCTGTCTGGCAGGCTGTTTCAGGTGTCATCTATAAACTATCATTTATGTCGTCACCAGTGCAGTTACGAAAAAACATTAACAACTAATAAAATCATTGAACGTTATCTCAAATTCTGCTAAACAGTTCCGTTCTCCCCATGACATTGTCACGCTGCATCACCCTGTAGACTTTAGCGCATAGATCCAAATCGTATGGGCAGTATGGAACGTTAGCAATGCTTGTTATGTAGTGTTCTAAAAGCGGCATGTTGTTAAATTAAAAAAGACCCAAACTGAAAGTGAAAAAATAGAATGTAAAAAAATAGGAATGTAAAAAAATAGAGACCAATCAAACCCAAGTGGCAACGTGTGCAAGGAATATAAAATTTCAAATGAAAACTTGAATGTCGGAAATCCCAATTCAATTCCTTACCTTGACTCTTGAGTCTAATACCTTAAGATACAAGATTAACACACAAGTCACAAAGGAAAATTTTAATAACACTTTGCCCCTCGTGTTAACTGTATGTTAACTGCCAGCTGTTGTATGATATTGTATATGAAACATTATCGTTACTTAACACTGTGTCACACGACTGTGCACTTGTATATATACAGTACAATGCACAAAGACTGCCTTATATTTGAAACCGAACTTAAACGACAGAAAAGGGCTTGCATTCAGTAATATTAATAATAACATTATACGATGCTTACTTTTTAAAACAACACCTCCCGCAAGGCGCCCAATATAATGACAATATTTTTATGATACAGTACATTAATCAAGTCGATACACAAATAAAACACGAGCATAATAGTGCTATAGTCCACATACCAGATTTGCCAACTTTTGGGGCACCGAAAACAGAAAGCATTATTTCGCCCGTTTCGTTGGACATGTTTAAGAAATGTTCTTAGATCCCCATCCTTCTATTGTTCGCAAGGACAAGCCACAATATCAAACCGTTAAAGCACAATTATGGTACCAGATTTTCGTAGGGCAGCAGCGAAGGATTTAAAAAACAAGTTCGAAACCGTGTTTGGTTGGTTAATCCCAAGTTTGTTCTTCTTTTAATCCTTATTTCCGTCTTAAAGCAGAGGTTTCAATAATGATTTGTGTAGTATAAAGGGACTGTGTCAATACCAAAGAGGTGACCCGGGTCAAAAATGCTGATAATCACACTGTGTTCCAAAGACTAAATATTCCTTGCTTGCGATGATAAGGATGTGTTATGAGACAAATTGGGCGTCTATTAACTCACTGCATGTGTCAACGCTTCATTCACGAATTTACAGAATATACTCAGCTGGAGACTATGTTTGACGTGCTTACAATGTTGTTAAGATCGCTGTTCTTTTCACCGGTTTCCGTCCTTTGTGTGCAAACAAGGTAAATTCGAAGTGTTTTTGTGAAAACGCAGTTCAATTTATACGTGTAAACAGTAAAACAAAGTAAGATAATATTGGAAATATGAGAGTTTTAATCTGCTTCGTAATCATAAATTCATCAGGACTGAAGCTGATTGAGATTGTTCAGCTGGTGTTAATTGTAATTATTTTCTATTATATTTAAGTTGTGGTGGGGTTCTATAGTCAAAATTGCTTGTGCAGTCGAATGGTATTCTATATATCTATGTCTAATTATTATGCATGATAAATGACACTAAACAGCTTATGTAAAAGTATGATCTTAATTCTGCCGGGTTAATCTGAGATTTCCCTAATGCTGAAAGACAGGAAAGACTCGCCCTTAATGTATTGTTATAGCTTTCATTTCATGGAATGGCAACGATCCATTCCAGGACTGAGATAACCTGAAATATGTCATTATAAATATTTTTGGTTTGGAACGAAAAACAAAGTGGGGCGCAGATAACGGTTGAAGTGAAAACGCGGGTATAAAATAATGACTATATACTCTATCAAATCGCGACTCAGTCTATTTTTGCGATTGAAGTCGTAGTTTAACAGGCAAGCGCGTACGTTATATATGTTTCAACGATCAATAATTGACCGTAGCGAGCATCAAGCATAAATGACTGAAAAAGGATAGGAAGAGAAACACCTATTAAATGACATGAAATTTTGACACGACGTCAACGAAGCAGAACACCTCCTAATAGGCCCGAATTTTTCCTTGTTTACGAACAAAGGAGCAAAACTGGAGGAAAGAATTCAGATCTTAACAACATTGGAAAAACGTGTTGAAAGACATCAGACAGTCGTGTACATGTTTGTTCAATAGAAAGGGCAGTACTTTTCAATGGTAAAACTTGATGTGTATACCGATGGCGATGTTAAGTTTTTTTTCCTGTTCTTTTCCAGATATCATGGACAATGATATTCGCCTCCTCGGCCAGGTTTTCTGCAACGCAATATCGGCATTTATTGAAGTCATTGAAGATGTAGAACTCAAGATGAGCCAAGTTCTACACTCCCCTCTGTAGTTTAGATTAGGTCTTAAATCCCTATATAGGTAGGTAAAATACAGAGGAAACTGACTGGCAAAACATGCACTAATTCATGATCGATGCGCTATTCCATTTGATCCATGCAATATTTCAAGCAAATCAGGCCATAGGCATAGCCTTGAGGCATAGCTTTAGTTTACCACGAGGGACCAAAGGTATCCTATGTATCAGAACATTGGGATATATCTATAGATATTATTAGGTAAACACAAAATCCAACTACCGCTGTGTATACAATGTCAATGGACAATGTTTCACATCCATCTTCACATATGCTCCAAATTAAGTATAATTTTTCGGTATATATAGTCTAGACTTTCGGAGTTAATCTATAAATATAAGTTATTTCCACTTGTAGTTAATTCCACTTGTAGTGAAGTACTGTATGCACAGCAGGCATTAAGAGAGCCATGCCGTGACCCTTGTGAATGTCAGCATGAAGAAGAGAGCAAACTGCTTGATGTTTCGGTCAAGCCAAACAAAGGCAAACGCGGGAGAGTGAAAAACAACCACACAAGCAGGAAAATATACCGAGTATCAGTGAACTATACGTTCTTAAAGTGTTTTTGTTCTGTCGCTAACGCATGCTGTGAACCACACTGGTGCTGATATATTCATGCCTGACAGCTAAATTAAACTTTTCAACTACGTGTTTAAAGAAACACAGAACAAGGAAAAATGTGTCATGAAAATTAAACTGAAAGATTAATCTCGGCGTATCTGGTAAAAATTGGCTTTGCATGGAATACAATATTTAAATAATGAATAACCACAAATATGTATACCAGTAAAGTGCAGTGAAGAACCTTATTGGATCACTGGACAGTCTGGACCAATATCAGGAGAAAAATTAGAAACTATATTTCACAGTAAACTAAATTTTGATTACTTTATTTTCCATCTTTTTTAAAATGTTTGAAATTCGCCTTCTCACCTTACAATTTAACACGCTTTTACACCCCCTTACTTCGATTGTAATGGGGGTGTCTAAGGTATGCAGGGTATACTCGAGGAGTGAGATAACTGTCCATCTCTCAGTATCCCCTAGTGTATACAACTTACCATATTTAGCCAAAATATTTTTTCTCCGGTGTCAAAATGGCGATGAAACTAGTGTAGTTTTGTGTCAAACTTGGTGTGTTTAAGTGAAGTTTTTGTCTTCCTGTGCCTTCGTACCGTCCTGTTGAGTGTTTTCACGTGCTGTCTTTTTCTTTATCTTTGTAAAATGGACGTAAGCTCTATGGTAAACGGTCAAACAGAACCAATAAAACTGTTTGTTGGTCAAGTACCCCGAAATTGGGAAGTTGAACAATTAAGACCGATATTTGAACCTTATGGGGAAATACAAGATTTGTCAATCTTGAAAGATCGAGTAACTGGTCAGCATAAAGGTTAGAGTGTACTGTTTATGCTATTGGTTCGATGACTTTGTTTTGCAAGTTAAAATATTGCATGCTTTATATTTATAAGAAGTCAAAGTTTGCCACTGTGGTAAAAACCAAGTAGCACCGTTACTATTAAAAAGCATACGTGATTTACGTAAAAAATCATTAAAAATAAATAGTCTGCATATAAATTATACTAAAGAGGTATTTAAGCAAAGTTCTCACACAAAGTATTTTCACAACTCAAAATTGTAGTCAAGGAGTATAATGAAGTGACTTAATGATCAGCATCCTGATCCAGTTTTATATACCTAAAGGCCTATTTACACTTGCAATTTTTGCTGCAATTTTCTTCTTTTGATAGATGTGAAAGAATAATATTTGTAACTACAAATGCTCTGAAGTGTACGAGCTCCTATTTGAAGTTTTGAACATCTAATTAGTTCACTTGTTCATATCCAACAAAAGAAGAAAATCGCACATAAAATAGCAGCAAAATTGCAAGTGTAAACAGGCCTAAGACAGCTGGCATTACTAGATGGCCAGTATTTCATTAAAATGCCAGACAATATTGGTTAAAAAAAATTTTCGAGAGTTGTGGTGGCCTCAAAAGGTTAGGCATGTTGGTATATTGTAAATTACCCTTGGGACAAATATTTGCTCATTTTTGTTTAACTTTTCTTTTTTATGGTTTAATTTTTTTGCCTTCTGATACTCGCATTAAAGGGAGGGTAATGTGCAGGGTCAGTTTTAATTTCTCCTTTATCTAATGGATATTACAGTCGGTAATGTAAGCAAATTCTTTGTTTACATTTTAAACCGCTAAATATCCTAAAATTGGATGTTTTGTCTGCATGGGCAACATAGTATCTGTTTGTTATGCTTTCATAATTGCTTTGAATTACTGCCATAACTGGCCAATAGACATTCCAAAAATGCTAAATGGTAATATAGAAATTAATTTAAGGTGGCTCAATACAGTTTTCAAAATATCCATTGTTGATTACTTTGACACATTCAAACAATGCATTTTTATGATTTATTCCAGAGATATTGGGTTTTTTTTATATTTTGATGTCTCTGCTTTTGAATCGTTTTAGTTTTAGTAAAAGATTGTCTGTTGCTATGGCGACATACATGTACAAAATTCGCTCCAAAATGACCAATTGCCTTGGATAGTTGGAAAAGAAGCACAGTGTCCCTTAATTTTTTTTCGTGCATTATTTTACTTGGACGAAAAACTAAGAATTAGCAAAATATAAAAAAAATCATTTTGAATGCCACATTTTTGAAAAATGCAAAAATGACATTTTTTTCAATATTTTTTTCTTTTGGGTGCAAATAGTTGGAATGCTTTTTTGTTGAATCTGCCACACCCTACAGCCCATTTTTTCTGCATTTTGTCCAACGTTATGGTTGTTTTAAGTTGATGATCATTTATATAAAACAACTGCTACTGCTTGCAGTGCAAACCATCAAAAGTAATTTTTGTGCTTGTAGGTTGTGCATTTGTAACGTTTCGTGACCCAACATCAGCATTGAAAGCTCAGGATGATCTTCATGACAAGCAAACATTACCTGGGGTTAGTAAGAAACTGAGAACATAAAAAACAGTATCAGACTAGTAATTTGGCTTCTTCATTATCTTTTTTTGAAAGAGCATTCATTATCTTTCCATTTTCTCTATATTATCATGCCTTGATTTACTAATATTATGGATGTCATTAAGAAAATATAATAAAAGCAAAGCTTTTCCCTTCCAGATGGGTCATACCATGCAAGTAAAACCAGCTGACAAGGACAAGAAAAAAGGTTTGTAGCAGTGAGGGAAACAGAGAAATAGAGTTTTAAAAAAATGGAAAATAGAGTTTTAAAAAAATGTATGTTTTGTCTAGTAGTAATATTAGTACTTTGCATTTGTGGGTACTAAGTAATTGCTTGTTAATTAGAGGAACAGATTTTATATGGGTTGATATTGATGGTTTGAACTTGTATTCATTATTGGTCCTCTACAGTAATTGCTATCTATACAGTAATTACTGTGTAGCAAAAAGTCAGCTTATTTTTCTAGATGAACGCAAACTTTTTGTTGGTATGATCTCAAAGACAACAACAGAAGATGATCTTCGTCTAATGTTTGCCCCATTTGGTACAATTGAAAGTGTCACAGTCCTTCGTGATGCAGACAAACGCAGTAAAGGTATTGTGGGGATTAGGGAAACATAAATTTTAGAGGCTGCACACTCTCCTTATTGACCTCCACATTTAATTTCAGGATTGTTTTTAGATTCTTGCTTTGTTTTCCAGCACAATCCAGCTAATTTCTGGAAAATAACCAATTTTACTGGTTTTTCATGTACAAGCTTTTTCACTGAGTTGTTATGTTTGAATATTTTTAGGATGTGCATTTCTAATGTTTGAAAATAAAATGCAAGCACAGAAAGCTATAGATGTCATGCACAATAGCCGTACTATGGAGGTAAATTGTTACTGAAGCGCATGAAAAAGATAAAAATATATTTTCATCTAACACCATATAATTTTTCTTCATATTTTAGGGTTGTTCATCTCCAATAGTGGTAAAATATGCAGACACAGAAAAAGATAAACTTCTTAAGAGAGTGAATGCAATGGCTACTATTCATGGTTTAAATGCTGCTTACTATCAACAGGTAAAAATAAGAACAATTTAGATATGTTCATGATACACCATAGCAGTTGGTGTATTTCTTTTTCAATTTCGACTTTGAAAATGATTCTCCTTCTAGGTTCAGCAATTGGCTTCAGTTGGTGCATTACAAGGAGCATTTCAGACTGGTTTAGTTGGGGGTTTACCAGGATTACCAGGAACAGCTGGTACAATAAGTATTTCCTGAACATTATTTTGCAAACATTTTGTACAAATGGAAACTCCCTTTTACCACCTCTATTTGCTGCAAACTGAAAATACATTATATTTTTAGGTCTAATTCCTGGTGCATTTGGTTCATTGGTTGCTGCAGCAGTTGCAAGCCAACAACAACAGCAGCAGCAACAACAGCAACAACAGAACCAGGTTCAACAACAGAGTAATCAAATGCTGAGTCCTGCAAGTCTGAGTTCAACAGCTTCGGCCATGAGTTATACACCAACTAGCAATGTAGCCTCGACCGCCAATGTTAACCCTCTCATGAGTGGATTAGCAAGTTATGGTGCATGTAAGTCTTGTGTTTCTGCATTATTGAATGTGGCTTTAAGCTTTTGTTCGGCCTAATCCCCTGCCTGAGAAAAAATTTTGTTTGTAACTCTGTCACTAGGGACTACCCAGTTAGAATATTCCAGTTTGTTCCATTTCAATTTTCTCATGAAACATTGGATCATTACTCTTGAATGAAGTCAGTTTAGAATTTAGTTTAATTAGTGCAAATAAAGCAATTTCTGTCTGACCTTTAGTGTGTACGGGTCAGAAGTGAAATGAAAAATAATAATAATAATATTATTAATAGAATTGTAGGGTAGAGTTAACAGTTCATAAATTCGTTTGCCAATATCTAATTTATAGCTTGGTGTTTTAATTGATAGTAAACCCATTGGGATTCCCCAACATGCAAAATATTGGCATTGGTGGAGTCAATCCAATGGCATCACTTGCAACCAACCCTGGATCTTTGGGAGCTATGGGGACAATGCAAAACGCTATGGCTGGTGTGTCTGCTGCTGATCCCTTGGCTCAGACATACTCTGGCATATCCCCTTATACAGGTAGAGATACTCTTCTTATACTTCCTTGTGATACAGTCTGTACCTGTAATAAAGTTTCTATATCTATATATAAAATGATTACCACCCATTTTCCTCAAAAGACTGCTATGAATGCTCGCAAATCTACAGGAATATTTTCATATTTAAATTTGTTAATTTTCATTTGCAGCAAATTTCAGTAATCCTTATAATTCTTTCATGTTACAATCACCCACAAGGCAACAGCAAAAAGAAGGTACGGTACCATCAAATTCATTCATTTTTTATTCAGCAATTCAGCCAAATTCATTTATTTTTTATCCAGTGATTCAGATTCATTCATTTTTTATTCAGTGATTCAGCATGATTGCTGCCCTACAAAATGCCAACCTGTTAAACGCCACATTTCACATTTTTTTCAGGACCTGAGGGTGCAAACTTGTTTATCTACCATCTTCCAAAGGAATTTCAAGATGCTGATTTGTTTGCAACATTTAGTCCATTTGGAACAGTTGTCAGTGCTAAAGTTTTCATTGATAAAATTTCTGGCATGAGCAAATGTTTTGGTGCGTATAGATGTTTATTCCTTCGCAAATACGCCCTTATCACAGCCAATATTTCAGTTATTATTTCTGGTTTTACCATTCTCTCGCTCTTTTCATTATTATAACGCTATTTTTCAGGCTTTGTAAGCTATGACAGTCCCGCCTCAGCTTCAATGGCCATACAAGCAATGAATGGTTTCCAGATTGGAGACAAAAGACTCAAAGTTCAACAAAAACGACCAAAAGACGCCAACCGCCCTTACTAAAACATAACCAAGTACCAAAGAGCTGATTTTGGTGAGTAAGAGAAATACTGGTAAATTCACCCACCCTGCATTTATTTTTGTGACTTCGTACGCCAGTATTTTATTGTGCGGTCTTTACCAGTGTTGCTGAATTTCATGTTTCATGTTTTTGTTTATTTGTTTGCTTGTTTGTATGTTTATTTGTTTGTTTATTTGTTGATTTCTTTATTTGTTGCACTTTATTTTCGTATAGACGCGTTGTATCCAGTGTGTTGCTGATGTGATGTTAGTAAATGTTATCATTGACTTTGTCTTTATATTTGACTGCAGTATATTATCTTAATTGTATTGTTTATTAGACGCTATTGACAGTAACTGTTTCCATAGTATGTAATAACGAAACAATGACTGTAAGTTATTTGTATTTATTACATGTGTTGTTCTGTCATTTCGTAGTAGTTTGTGTAAGTTGTTATTTTTTCTGGTAAACCATCGCGATATTTCACCCCATGCACTGTGACGTTTATACACACAACAAATCCATTGCATTTAGTTTAAGTAATAGTATTAAGTAATTTCTCGTGCTATTACGGATAAACGCATATTTCAAGTCATTTAAAAAAAAGCCGTGTTACACGATTCATTTTTTTCTACTTTCGAGAGATGTGAATTTGGCAACTACAAAATATTTGTTTCTACACCGCACCGATGTTTTCTTATTTATACATTCTGAAATTCTTCATACATTAGCTAATTTACATCTCTCAAAAGTATAATTGCATTGCGAATCGCAAGAAAAAAAATTGCATCGTGTAACAAAGTCGTTACGACTGTGTAGACCCGTTACGGGTGTAGGTTTTTCTACGTAATTGCACAAAAATTATCCTATTGTAAATGATCTAGAATGAAACGAATTCTTGATTCCGAGTGTGAAAAAGCTGTTTCATTCGACATTGAAAATTTTTTGCATCTTTATCAGCTAAACAGAATTACTTGTCTTTGGTTACCAACACAATTTACGAAGTACAAAATATGTATAAAAATGCTGTTGTCTTCGCACGATGCCGATCTTCTCGCCGTTCAGAAAACTCGTTATACCACAAACCAAAAGTGAAAATAATATTTCTATTCTCGTTTCCTTCTTGTCATGGCGAGTAAAACAATGAGAACAATCAATATCGCCACAGAAGAACTTGATATAGCAGCTTTCAGAAGTTTTGCCCCCAAAGTGACAGTCGTCATACCTTTTTTGGTCTGCAATAGAACGATATTATTACAGGGAAATCAACATGTTGGTCACTACATTAGAGTCCGCCAGTTTGTCTGTGGATATAAAAAGTACATTGCGTTGGATCTAAGCTACGTGAGAAATGTATCAAACAGAGTTCGGGTGGTATTCTACGATAGGTTTTGTTGTTTGTGTCTAAATGGCCTGAAAAGGGTCAAACCTGTGCCTCCTTTTTGCTGAGCTTCTGTGGTTTTGTGGATGACAGAGTGAAACAGGGTTGATTTTAGCGGGTTGGTATTCGTGCTACAGTCTTAGGGTCAACATCCAGGAATTTCTTCTGCTATACAAGGAAGGCTCGTGATCTAGTCAACCTCTTGCGTAATTTCCTAAAATCGTATCTCAACCTCGTAGTCAACCCCTATTAATTTCCTAAAATCGTATATGAACATCATAGCGGAACATAATCAATGTCAATCTTACCAGTTTATGGAAGGTTTCGCTTCTCTTTCCCGAGCTTTCAGTTCGACTGTGCTGAGTTGGGTGATTTCCTAACAAGAAATTTTCTAATAGAGACACATTTTTATTCCCAATACCCGTTATTCCTACAGCTCCTTGTTCTGCATTTTTCTTGCCTGGCCTTTCGACATCCCCAGGACCATCTAAAAGTTCATCTTGTTCTCCAGTTAACTCATTTTTTATTTCGTTCAGATACTCATCTGCCTTGGCAGTTAAGATATTTTTCACACTTTCATCATTTATATAATGTTGAGCAATGTTTCTGAGGTTTACAGAAAAGGCGAGGTCAGATGAGGATTCTGATGGATAAAAGACGAACTCCGCTGGCTTCTTGTTTGCCTTTCTTCCTCCTGATTGGTTGGTCTTTGTATCTATAAATTATCATGAGGGTTTGTTTGTATGAATTGATTGATGGATTGGGCAAAGATATCATAGTTCATAGCTCAATGATAGTTGTTAGCCAATCCCAGTATCACAGATATGTATAAACCAGGATTTTACTGATTTCCCATTTCAATTGTTCAGAACACAAGTTTTGAAGACGATGAGTACATGTCACTGATCTATATATAGTCTTGGATGCGCTATCCCAGGGTTATGCATATCAAACCCAATCTATCACCTCCCCCATTCCCTTTGCTTAACAAAGAACATTTCCTCGAAATTTTCTTTGTATTTTTATGTTGCAATTAATATGTCCTAATTCCAAGCAACAATGCAATACCTTGTTTTGTGACATTTGTTTTCGCCTTAGTCAAAAAGACGGCAATCATCTTGTCATCATGATACGCTGGCACTGTTTTGCAATGCTGAGAGCTATAACATGTTATTCCATAGCAAAAATGATCCTTGAACAAAGCTAGGTCACAATGTCTGCTCTCACAGCACTGTAGCACACAGACCTCGAGGTCTTTGACTTGCCCCAACTCAGTAAATGTACCAGATTTCAGTTTATGAAGCAATGTTGTATCTTTTTGTATACGTCCTGCTTTGCACGAATGCCTATGAAGTCGATCGTTCAATTCGTTTGACCACGCACCTAGAGGATATTTTGTACAGAAATTATATCATTTCAACACCTTAAAGGAATAATGCCGGCCGTTGACATTAATAATTAATACAGTCTTTTAGAATTGTACAGCCTGAGCTTCCCTAAGTTATTAACAACTTGATTTTCACTCTAGTATCAACTGAAACATCTTTTTTTTCCAATCTACGTCCAGTCTTTCCCTTCTCCTATGCCTCACATGCATGCAGTGTACTTTACCTCACGCTTACCTAAAGGACTTGATTTCACACTCTACTATAAAGTTGATCTTAAGACAACTTCATCTTGTGATCTGACGCTTGCAACCGACGTTAAACGCGAATACGCTTGTAATATTTGCAACCATGAACTCGAGTTTTGTAACACGACCTCCCGGTTACAAATGAAAGTCGAATTGATGAAAAAAAGAACGTTCTATATGATCTGGTTCTCCTGATAGATTTAAACACTCACCTTCAGATGCTTGGACTTTATATATCGCAGTATCCTTATGGGATTTAGCTATGAAACGTGTCAGATATACACTAAACAAGGCCAATATCAAATTCATATCACGAAGACAGATTCATACATTCGTACATCAAATCATCAATCATAAAACCATTCACGATCAACGGTTTGCTCTTAAAATTTGATTTGGAAAATATAATTTCATGTCAACATTCGACGTTACCTGCTAATACATTGCCAGAAACATCTTTATAGATTTATTTTTAGTAGTGATTTGGCAGAGGTGAGCAGGTCCGTAACCAGTAACGGCTGCATGTAGCGCAAAACTTCAGTGTAATATAATTTTCTTTCTTTAAAAATACCACGTGTTTTTATTCATTAACAAAATCTGCATTTGGAAGCTTTACGGTTATTTCTGCGGTATTCTCCCCTAGAAATGGTCAGACTGTTCAGATAAGATGAGGGCAAGAACTTAAGACATGCAGAGAGGTACCTAATCATGTTCCCAATATATTTATGTCATGAATATTTGTGCGCGGTTTAACTTTAACATCCCGCGGTTGGTTGTTCTAAGCCCGCGGTTAGTGCTAAACTTGGGCTTCATTTAAGCCTGCTGATCTTGAACATGTGGTTATAAAACACGATTTTTGCTGATAAATTAAGAAAACGCTGACATAAAGAACATATTCATGCGCTAGTTCCTCAGCTATTGAACAACTTCGACTCATCGAATAAGGAGAATAGATAAGGTGTTTTCTGCAAAGTTTACCATGATTTTCCAGGAAATATATTTATAGGATAAACATCGTGTTTGCTACAAAGATTATGTCAGTTTTGTAAGAAAAGATCCAGAAGAATATAAAACCGCCGTTTTCTAAAATTTTTTCTAAGATTTTGTTGGAGAAGGCCTGGACCATAAGCTTCGGGTCCTTTGGATCAATCTGCCTGAAAAATGTACGAAAAACGTTAATGCCTCGTGCAGGCATTTTCTATGTATATTTTTCAGGTAGATTAATCCAATTGATGAAGTATTTTTGCAAAAACGCTACATTGTACAAGTATAGTGTACAATTTATTGAAACTATCGTCTCCGGTTTCTCGCCGTGAATATTTTATTCTCCAATGAGATCTTCGGTCTCGAGGACAGCATCATATGCAGGCTTTCTGCGCTTGGCTAACTTTTTTTTGATGATAAATGCCACAGTTGCTGCGCCAACAATCGTTCCAGCAACACCACACCCTACAGCGACAGCGATTGCTGGTGACGCCCTCCCAGACGATCCATCCTAGGAAATTGAAACCATCTTTGTTGCTTGGGTTCCGTATTAACAACCTACAGTTGTCTTGTAATCTATGTATATCTTTATACATGTTTTAAGGCGGGTTTCTATTAGGCGGAATGCTTCGATCGAACTAGATTTTTCGCTCGATTTTTTTTTAATTGTGACTGGTCAAGGGAATTCGCTTTGGTCGAATTCTCACAATTGAAAAGAAAATGAGACGAAAAATTTCGTTCAAAATTCCGGCTAGTGGAAAACTGCCCTTAACCATACCCTAGCTGTTCCTGTAATGCTAAGCACAGACTCAACAGCGTTTCCACAATTGAAGGAAATTTTTTCAAAATGTCAACAATGAGGGAGGGAGGGTTAGTCTTAATAGGATATATCATGCATTCTTTTCAAACGTTTTTTGTTTCTCTCTTTTTCATTACCATCTCCCCATGAGGACAGCCTTATGCAAATAAGTTGTGTAAACGCTGAGACTCAACAACAGCGCCATTTGTTAGTCCATCGCAGTGTTACCATACTGAGTTTCCACCAGTACTTCAAAAAATTCATAAAGTAGCATTTAATGTGCCTAACCTTAGCTTGTTTTCCAATTCCCAGGTCTTCCGTGTTCTCTTGCCCTAAAATACGGATTGTAAACGATGAGCGTTATCAGGGGTGGCGCCAGGAATTCCCCGGCACAGGGGCTAAGGTCCCCGACAGGGGGGCTGGAAAGCTGAACTCCCAGTTTTTGGTTTATTGCTACAGTCCCATGGCTTAGATTTGGAGCCTAAGCTCACGAGGCGCCACCTTGGTTGGCGCCGAGGAAGAAAATTTTTGAAATTTGATTGTTCTAGATTATTGGAAATTAGCATTTCAGAGTCTTATCACGGACTTTTTCATGAAAATTTTTATGCTACAAACCATGTACAATGTAAAATACTAAGTTAAATTTTGAAGAAGTTTATCTGTTTTATTTGGGAGAACTAAAACAATAGAGGGCGACTCAATATATCTCCTGTTCATTCCCCGACGAATTGTTAAAATTTTCCCCGACAGGGGGGCCAGAGTCCCCCGACGAGGGGGCTGTAGTCCCCCTTGCCCCTCCTCTGGCGCCACCCCTGAGCGTTATAAAACACATCGAGTAAGTAAGCATATGGAAACACCGACAAGTTCCAAACTTTTTTCCAGTCAGAATGGTTTACCTGGCTCGTAGTAACAATAATATATCTTTAAGTTGAATGGATCTTCACTTGGCCCATAGGGGTACGCACCCCCGGTACCGTCAGTGTTTCCCTGATCATCATCATCAAACTTGACAAACTCTGAGGTGACTCTCATCCCTCGAACTTTTTGACATTGAGTCGAATCATAGGTGAGCAAGTAGAAGGGTCTGAGATTTGGTAGTTTGATAGGATTATTAACGTTTCCTTTGGTACTACAGCAATACTTAATAGTTGTGTTGGTTTTCTCATATATTCCGTCAGGAAGATTGCCGTAATTCGCGTTGTTTTGGTCGATACCTGATTGTTCATCGTCCCATCGGATAAATCCTTCTTTGAGGCCAGTGGGACAGACGCCTGATTTTAAAAATTGAAAGTTGAAATAGCTTTTGCTATCAAAAAATCAGTACGGTTGACTACGAAGAAAAGCGCTGTCAGTTCTGCTACAGGACTTAGATGAGTTTATTGAATTTGCCAAAGGCAAAAACAAAGTTTTCTATGAACTGACTATAGTTTCACTTTCAAAAACCAGAACTCAACAACAAGGGAACGAAGCGTAGGACATCAATAACATTTAATCTTATCTTCAGCAGTCTAATTCGTAAGGCAACAACACGAAATTCTGGTGAAACTTTGACTATTTCAACACCTATTTGTCAACCCGTGATAACTTCTTGCGGCAAATCAGGAGTCGTATTAGCTACTAAGGAAATATTTTTTTTATCTGGGATTAGAAACCGCGATTTCTGGTCCAAACTTTGACCTATTGGAATGCCCGATAGAGAATTATAGCACCGTATCATCTTGTGCGTAATTGGATATTTGGATAGGCCAAGGGCACTAGCTAACTAATATATTTTTTTTATATTTTTCAGGTGTCTCAGAATCCATTTGAACAACGGAAACAAGACCTTATGTTTCATACACTGACGAGCGCACTCAAGAGATTATCAAACTGTATATCTGCTTTTAAAACCGTGAGTTTTCAATATGATAAACTGAAACCGTGAGTTTTCAATATGATAATATTCGGAATTGTATTTCGCTCTATCCAGCACCTAAATTTCTCACCTTTTTTATAGAGACAGTATTTCCCATCTGGCCAAAACTCACTACCCCCAGCAGCGCTATCCTTGATACAGAACTTCTGTTGAATACCATGTTGGGTAAAGTTTCCTGCCATGTGAGAAACGGTCGACCGCTGATTGGCTGGACTGTCATCCTCTGTATCGTGGTAAGTCCACCCAGTTTTCCACTTGAGGTCAGTATCATCCGGGCAACCAATCTGAGGCTGAGGTATTCCGTACGTTCCACTTGGCCATTTCACTGGGCAGAATATATTTGGTGAATATCAGTTTATCAGTTTGAAAGTATTGTATAAGGGACAATGAACAGTGAGCACTAGCGCAATGCACCATTGAGGTAAATGAAACGAGATCGCATCTAAATCGCTGTAAAGATGGCAAGTGTAAACAGGCTTTCAGGTTTTTGATGAGAAGCAAATTTGAGAAGCATGGATTACGAACGCTCAGTTCATTCGTAATTTTACTAGCAGACTAGGCCTGTGTCAGTAAATATCAATAACTTATTTCTCATGATAGCTGCCATGATTATCTTTTTTAAACAATAGTTTTTTCACTATAGCAACTTTCACTTCCCTATACTTTCATTTCACTATAGGACTGACTACATCCCGATGCGATTTGCCGACCCCTGCTGTCGCTATAGATGTTAATGACCCGGCGAATGTCGGTAGTTTCGATTGATGCTGGCCGTCATCACGACATGCATCTGAACCAGCTCGACAAATCGCCGTTTGTGAATTCTCTTCACTACACCGAAAAATAGCATCCGACTAACATCCGTTAACACTTTAAAGATAGGTTTTTTATAGTAGTTGATTTGTTACCATGTATAAAAATGTAAATAACAATGTATAACTTTCTAACCTTCCCCTCTTGAAAATGATACGATCACCGTTAGCACTAAAACACCGTACGCAAATATCAAACGCATATTTCACCTATTACAGAAGAGGAAAGAAAAGAAAACACTCTTTAGCAAATTAATTTGGGCCAGCATTGACGTTAGCTTCTCAATATTTAACACTTCTTCAATATATCTTTCACATAGCTACTCTACGCACTCTATGCTGGACAACTATATATGTATTGCTGCATTCTAAAACGTTTTTGTGTATAAGAAATTTCCAACCTTGAAATCGCACTAAACTTTATGTTTTACTCTATGAGATCGACGTAGAGATTAAAAAAATCGAGAAATTTCTTCAAACTTTGCCATCCAGTTGGCGACGCGCGCGCTCATTAGAGATCGCGGTTCGATCTTCAATGCGACGGCCCTCTTGGGGTATCATATTAATTGCAACTAGAATTTATTTGAGAGAACTCTTTTGCTCATTTCGAATATTCAATATTTCTATAGTATGTCACTATCGTAAAGTTATCTTAAACGTACTGTAGTTACTCCGTTTCGCTGCTGCGTATTTACCAGTCATGTTCACTCGAGCGTCAAAGGAACTTAAACATTTATTTTCAATATTTCACTTACTTTATTTTCATATACAACATACCTAATATTAATTCAAAGTATTTAAAATCCTCTTGCAGCTTGAAATTGGACAATTACGGTTTGTTTTTACCTTTATATTTACACCATTATTCCTCTTGGATTTACTATCATCGTTCATATAACAGGTCAGGAGAATTGCTACCTAATTACGTCATAACGAGAACAACCGCAGACCAGGTGAATTGCGCGGCGTTATTTCCACTGGCTAAGCTCAGGCACTGGCGCAGGGCTTCGCTTACAGCGGTATGGAATTAGCAAAAGTCAGAAAAAATCATGGAAAAAATAGATTTTAAATGTATAATATTCATTCAATTTCAAAAGCCATTAATAACTGTTGCTGAGCGTTTCGCGGTTTCTGGCCTGCAAAAAATGTTACTGAAAGCAAGCGTTCCAAACAATACTTTCAACGGTAAGTAAACATGGAAAAATTCTAGGAAACATGGTGTTTTCAAGTGCCACAGCGAACACAGGGTGTTTTTATGTTCTCAGCCTCCGGTAACTAATTTTCTCCCGAAAAGCGGGTTAGAACGGGCACACCGGCACGGCGGGTGAACGGGTGTCGTCATGACGACCAGTCACTTTGATTTGGAAGGGAAGGTTTATGTTTGTACTTTTTATGGATAAATAGTAAATTTTAAGAGGAAAATGAGCGCTCAAGGTGACGATGGAGAGGACACAGGGCCTTCTGTTGATTCAACAGAACCTGAAGAGAGAATAGCAGCGAGAAGGCTTCGCATTCAGCGGAGAATCGAGGCGGCAAAAAGGTTTGTAAAAATTTTTTGTAATTGTAATTTGTGTACTTGATTGTCACAACTTTAACTATTTGCAAATATATCATTTCAAAAGGGAGGCAAATGGAGAAGAGGCGATTTCCAAGAAGCCAATTGATTCTGAGAAAGATTCATGCAAGAGTAGAAAACAAATTGAAGAGAGTCGCCAGGTATGATTCATGAACTTGTCTTCTTCATCATTTTTGTCCGCCCCCATTACAGTATGGTAGATACAATATTTTAGCCTAAGGTTAAGAATTTATGGGGTATTGCAAATCAAAGATAAAAATTTCTTATCAGGAGAAACCCTAGAGGCAGCTTTCTTTCATTATACATACACTGATTACACTCAAGTAGATTAATAATTTATAGTTTTCCCATATTCATACTCATTATTGAGGAGTCATTTGCTTTCAGTTTATTTACAAACTTCTAAAATTATACTAGAAAAGCACAGTTGGGAATTTTTTTGAAATTTCCTCTTTCAGCGTCTGTTGAAATTAAAAAGTGATGGTACAGAATTAGTGACAAATATTCAAGTAGCAGGTGATGCTCGAGAGAATGTCCGCCGAGTTGAAGATGACGAAAATAGGAGACAAAGGTTAGTAGATAAAGTATATATCTCTGGATTAGGTCTCTGGATTTAAATTCATTTAAATGCCCACAGGATGGCTCAGGGACTCTCTCCAATAGAAAGAATATATAACAAGTTTAACAACATTATATAACCATGCATAATTGAAGTTTAACCTATTTAGCTAGCCTACCTGTGCCATTTTTATAGCAAAATCTCACTTCTCACACATGAATTTCAAGATTTCATGGTTAATTATTCTTTTCTAATCATACTTTAATTAGGATTGAAAAACTTGAAGCAGAGTTGAAGGCTGCGGTTGAGAAATTTGATGAGGTATATTTTAAACTTATTTTTTCATTTTTCATAAGATAGGCCTAGAAATTGCCTTATCACTAAAAAAAAATGAAAATACGGGTTGTTTTCGTAGATCACAAAGAAATGGTCTCAAGCATTATCAAAAGAGATTCCGCAGGATTTGCAAACTGTAAGTATAAATATGCATGGTAATTAACACTTCTGCATATGTCATTCACAATATAGAGAACCTTCACAAAATTGAATTAAGAAGTCAAATCTCTTATTTCCTATAGCAAGTATTTTATTATAATTCCTCTCTTTTGCCTAACTGTAGTGATTGTAATTCTTAGATGTGTTGTAGTCAGTAGCAAGTTATAATTGCATGGACTCAAGTGCACTCAGTCAATAGTAAATTAATGGTTCAACAGCTGCTAAAATATGCAAGAAAACAATTTAAATTTTGGTTGTTTATACTATAAGCAGCCACTGTGACATTCATCCTTACCGGCCGGTACTCAACTCTTTCTTCACCGATGTCAACCTTACTGTAGTATCATAATATTATATGCATATTTTGTGTGTAGCCTAGGAAGTGTCATTCTTCCTCTACACTACAGAAGACTCCCCTTGAAGTTGTTTACCTCTGTCTCTGATTCATTGAATATGCGGTGATGATTTGAGTGAAAGTTTTTAAAATATTTCAACTCATCAGAACTGGCTAATCAAAACATATGTATTTTATTGTTGGTTAATTTTAATCAGTAAATGCCCTACTGGCAAAAAAGTGTGCAGTAAATCTTATAAATGTAATAATATACATCTTACGTTGATTATCACCCGTGAATCGAAAAGGTAACGTTGAGTGTGGGTGAACGTAACCTTGAATGGAGGTCTCGTTGACTGCTAATAAACGACTGATAAGAATTCGGTGCGCTATTAAAAAATTGCCAAAGTTCTATTAAAAAACGATGAAACATTGGCGGGAAACGCTGTTTCCACAACAATCTAATTGACGTCGGGCGTGACATTTTTCAAGCACATCTAGTAATTATAATTAGAAAACTAACTAAGTACAAAAACCAATTGCACGCTGTTTACTCGCTGTAGATGTTATTGGATCAGAAAAGCTCATGCGATGTGATGATTGATGAAAAGAATAAATTAATTAATGATTTCCAACAGGTCTGTTTTTTGTCGTAACTTTATTTGTTCAATTTACTTAACACAAACAATTTGACGATTTCAGCCAGAATAATACAAAGTAGCATTTTGAATACTATACATTTTCACGTCTATTGAACAATTATAGTTCTTAGTATTTAATATTAAACTATATGTTATAGTAAATGGTGCCGTTGTATTAAATCTAGAGTGTATACTTGTCATAAATTTATAGGAACTGAAAGGTTTGGATGATCGTTATGTAAAAGATTTAAAGAAACAAGCGGAGGATGTTGATCTAATGATAGAACGAATGGATGAACAAATTAAGAATTTAACAAAAGCTTATCGTGAAGAATTGCTACAAATTGAAGTAAGTAAAGTAATAAACCAGCTGGATACTAGTATAATTCTTAAATTACAGTGATACACATATGATATTTACTTAAGTTACATTTGGTCAGCATTACCCAGTATTACAAAAATGGAAGGATTATCTGACCTCTTAGCGACGAAAAAAGGGGAAAATTATACAACTACAATGCAATGGGTCAGGGCAAAAGTTTCCTTTGCTCTTATACGTTCAGCCCTACTTTGTTTAAGAGGATCTCGAAGCATTAGAAGAACTTACAAAACAAACGACATTGACTTTTCAGAGCAAAACGCCATAGCTTGCATTAATTAGTTTTTTCTATTTGTAGGTAATTGCTATGTACATATTTTTTTATTCATCTTTTCTAGTCTTATTTTTAACTGTAAATATCCAAACAAGGAAGGAAATACCGATCCTTATTAAAATTTGACATTTTTGACTTTTAATATGTAATTATTACTATTATGGATTTTTGTAAAAAATATATATCCTATCCCTATTGTAAAATGGAAGGTTTCCACCATTATTAATAAGGTCCATGGAGCGCTTGAAAAGAAATGTTACTCATCTTCTTCATAATTACGAAAATATACTTTCATTTAGAAATCGTTTGTTTCTGAGCGAACAGAGCTGATTGAAAACAACCGGAAAAAATGGCAGAATCTGATGCAGCAGAGACGAGATAGGGAGGTTTGTGGTGTACAAGAAATTTCTTCGTCACGTCCGAAAACAATCATATCACCGACCTACTCGGCCGAATCCTTATGGTTCAAAGTTTTTAGCCAATCCAACAATAAAGTTTTTGGAAGACACAATGCCCACTAGGATTTTTTCATATGTCGTGTATGTTTGTTAATTCCATGATTGCTTATTTTGACATTAGGTAGAGTTTCTTCAAACGCGACGGAAGCGTGTTGAAGAATACGAGGAGCAGTTGGACACTTTGAGAGTACAAGATGCTGAAGAATATAATATGGTGAAAATTAAACTGGAAACTGACGTTCAGGTTTGATATGACATACATGCCATATATTATCCACACGAAAATTCATGCATTTTTTAAAAACATCCTTGAAAATTTACAAATCTTCTGTTTTTGTGTTTAGATCTTGGAGCAACAGCTTCAACAAATGAAGGCAACTTATCAACTTAACCAAGAAAAACTTGAATATAATTTCCAAGTACTTAAAAAGAGAGATGAAGAGAACACTATAACAAAATCTCAACAGAAAAGAAAAATTACCAGGTAAACAGCGATGATATTTGCTTTCAGTGGAAGCTATTAATAGTAGTATACCGCAGTTTTCAGAGTTAGAAAAGATCGAGTTTAATGGTTACTGTAATGTCTGATCTTACTATAATGGACCCACAGTATAGCATTGGCGAGTTTCCGAGGTGTTTGTGTAATGTCTGATCGTGTACTCAATAGGGGTGGGAGGGACGTGCATCCTAAGGGTGGGTTTTCTTTGTATAGGTATGATATACTGAATATTCCACAATACGCTAACCTTGCACGTACTATTGAATTTAGGTTGCAAGATTCTTTAAATAATTTGAAGGCAAAACTTGCGAAACAAGAAAAAACATACAGGTAACATATTCTCCAGTTTACGGCTTCGTTTGAACTATCTACGTTCAATATAGACCAAAATTTTTGAGACTTCATTTAATACCTATAAAACTCTGTAATAAAGCTTTAATGTCGATTTTGCGCATCTCGCCAGCCTTATTATCGAAACATTCAGTAAAACCAAAATAGTGAGCTCGATATTATTCATTTTCGACTATAGGAATGAGAGCTTGCGTCCGGCTCTTCTCCTACATGGCGGTTTGAAGGGGGTTCATTATGTTAAAGTTGAGGGTTGCTTTCTTACTTTGAAAGTTGGTGGGGGAGTCGTACACGTCTGGCGATTTAGTATTGACGATTTGGAGTCATTATTTGATTGGAGCATTGTTTTCTGCCAACATACTGTCAGAGTCAACAGCATCGGTCAAAAATATGTAATAGAATGAATACATGAATGTATGCACAGTTTTCAAAATTTTACGTATTTTATTTCAGAGATGATAATCAGTCGTTAACAGATGACTATGAGCGAATCACAGAACAGTACAGAGAACTGCAGAAGAAATTCAGGTGAGTTGTGGAGAAACGTCTTGATTAATTTTGAACAACCTGCATACAGGGCCGTCGCTAGAAGCTTAATTAAGGGGTGTATATTCGTGTTATGCCCTGATTTTTTTTGCACGCTATTGCTCCTACGCGGTATATAAACATAATATAAGAATATAGACCCACCCCAATTAAGCGGTCTACGGCTATGCAGGCTGCGTACTCTATATATACCAGGTTAAGTGCTTGCGATGTGAGGGTGTCAAACATAGAGAACATTAACTGGCACAAACAGGCATTAACGACTTTTCTGAAAGCACAAGTTATAAGCCATATACAATGTTATAATCTCAGTTGTATTCTTCGTTTGTTCACATTTACATGACTATATTTTATTGATTGATTTGTCCAGACATTTTCAAGCGACTGATGCAAAGAAGTTCTTGGAAATGTGGCTAATGAACGAAGCTCAAGCAAAAGAACTTATAAACGACGTTCTGGAAGAAGATCGCATAATTCATGAACAACAACTAGGGCTTCCTTGGTCTAAGCCTCAACTGTACGTGTACTTCATATTAACTTACTTTTCTTTACCACGAGGTAAAGATCTTAGAAATTGATTTAAACCGTTGTCCTATTTAGGGATTTCCTGGAATCCAAAGGTCCAATTATGATAACAAATGCAGAGGAGAAGAAACTCTCAGCAACACAAGTTGCCCAGAAAGCCTTGGCCACAGGTAACACAGTCTGATTATATCTTACAGTTTCAGACTAGGTGGCACAGTGTGACTGTATCTTACAGTTTCAGACTAACTGGGTGATAGTTTGAGAAAACGTGACACATTGTGATTATACATGTTTTACAGTTGAGACTAGGTGGCACCGGCCTGTCAGTTTGACTATATCTTATATTTGGAGATGACATAGTGTGACTAAATCCTTCAGTTTGAGACTAGGTGACACAATGTAACTATATCTTGCAGTTTGAGACTATAGGTGACACAGTTTGACTATATCTTATAAAAGTTCTATTTGAAGATTATATATAGGTGACACAGTGTGACTATATCTTACAGTTTGAGACTATAGGCGACACAGTTTGACTATATCTTATATAAGTTCTATTTGAACATTATAGATGACACAGTGTGACTATATCTTACATTTTGAGACTAGGTGAAGCGTGACTATATCTTACAGTTTGAGACTAGGTGACACAGTGCATAGGAATATCACACTCAACATTTTCTTTTTGTGGTGTAGATATCAGCGAAGAAGATCAAGATAAAAGTACCTCAACAGTTCACGATAAACGATCTGTTGACAAGTCAAAATTATCCCTTACCACAATCAAAACTATATTGGAATTACTATCGGATGAAGCGGTAAAAATTCTTCTATAGAGTGCATACTTTTAAATGTGCATTTTGTTGGCAGACTATTATTCCATAAACTGTTGTGAACTATATTGTCTAAAATAAAAATGTTCATCCGGTCTGGCTCAAAATATATATTTTAAAACAGTCTGGTTCACTAGGGTTGTGCATTGTGCAAGGCTTCCATAATGTGAGAGTCGTCAATATTAATAGCAAATACCATACAAACTTCTTTTTCTCTGAGTCCCATTATCTTATGAGAACAGCCCTACGCAAACATTGGCGGAAGCCCATTGGTTGTCTATGATGGGTGCCCAGACGTGGGTTTCTGCATTTTGCAGTCACTATCTGCCGCAGCTTTAGAGAATCCGTGTATTCATGTTTTGTTTAGGGATTTTTGGTTGAAGAGAAGTTAAATCGGTTGCTTGCTCCTTTGGAAAAAGATGAACAGTCTCTAATGAGGCTCGACGCTATTTTTTCAGTAAGTAATCACAGGTTGTTTCTCACGTTTGAACTGTTCCACACACAGATCCACATGTGCACTGAAGGCTCATCTTTTCGTAATCCTGAATTTAATTAACAAAATGATCTAGAGAACCTGGGACTATAGTTAAAATAACTTGTTTTTTTAATTTTCGCCATCTTTCCTGTATTCACCTTCCTTTGATATACAATTGCGACTTAGCCAAGCCACAGTTTTTCTAGGGAGAATTTTACTTGTGATAACACCACCACTGACATAAATGCTATGCATTTTAGAAACCATCAAGGCTACCTATCAACAATGATTTGTGTTTTATAGGCGTTGGGAGTTGAAAATGAAGATGACATATATAACTTGGCAAGATATTTCTTTGCAAGTCAGCATGATAAAGATGGCTCAATTGAAGAAGAAACGGGCGGGTTGGTTGATTATATGTATAAACAGTAGGATTTTTGAAGTTAATAAGTTCACTGCAACCAGGTATATAATCTATCGAAATTATCACTACTCTGGTTTAATTAATGAAAGTATAATCACCACACAAAGATTGACGACTATAACGTCAATTCGCGTAAATCAAACTGGTGCCGTCAATTTTTTCTATCGTTCATCAATCTAGTGTCAAAAACGAACAAACGGAAGATGATGGAATTAAAAAAGATGATTCGAAGGCCAAATCTTTAGCTTCTACAAAAGGTATCATATTTACAGCTTTATTGTTTTTCACAGTTTTGCACTGACAGTGGAAATTGACATTGTGTGTGATGCCATATTTTACTACATATACCATGTACCCACTTCGTGCGTCACTGACCGCAATATGAATCCGAACACAAATACTTCTAGGTTACCCAGTTGTGGTCTGTAGTCCGGAGTTTTGCGTGACTGGCAGGCTAGCCTAGCAGCCCTTTCGACCCGTCACGACCGAATTATTTCTTTCATACAAAGCGAAACTATTTGAAATATTCTTTTCCCAAGACGTGCCAGATCTCATTCACCCAAACGAAGTTGTCAAAAAGTTAAGAAATTTCGTGGAAGAAAATCGTCAAATTATGAAGTAAGTTGGTTAATTGAGATGGAATTTAATATTTACTTTGATCTCCGTCGACAAGTTTCCCCTTGCCTTTGAAAACTGAAAAAATCTCTTTTTCACTGCAAAGAATCATCACAACACCATTCGGATTTATCATTGCCTTCATTTTTGCCACAATGAGCTCTAAAATTATTAATCCTGATTAAACAGAAAGTTGCAGTCAAACCTTTCCGTCTATTGCTATATGGCTATAGCTATGCATCCGGAGTATATGTACATGTAACTTCGTTATTCACCGTTATCTTTACATTTATAGAGAATCCAGGAAAGCATCATTCAAGAAACCTGGGGAGAACGCAGGTCGCAACGCGAGGTTAGATCCAAAAATATGAGTATTTCAGTACGTTTAGCCACAAGCAAATATAAGGTATATTGTATAATATATGGTACATTCCAGATAGCAGATATAAGACTCTGTTGTATGCATGGTCATATAAGTCATGAGTAAAATGACATTAGCGTACTTTTAAGTTTAGACTTACGGTAAGCAAGGTGTATTAAAAAACATCCCTCAATCGTTGTAATCTTCCTGACTGTTTTTGATTGGTGTAGTTTGGATGCAGAATATTGGCAGAAAATGACGACCGTTATAGGTAGTTCCGAGGAACATGTCTGGGATGCGTTGACGGAGGGCTTTGAGAAATATCTTTCGGTTTTGACTGAACGAGCGGCGTTGATACAAGAGACTGGTGCACTTGAACAGCAGGTACTGTTAGAAAGAGAGAGAGAAAAAAGGTTTAGATTATATAGAATACATGTAGTTACCAGCAACATCCAAACCAACCCGCCTAATAATTTGTTTGTTGCAGAACTCAGAATTACGTATGCTTCTTCATCAATATATCAATTCAAAGGTACGTTTTTGATACATGCAACTATTTGCGTATATACTGTATTGATAAAATGTGTGCTTTTTTACAAAATATAAGGTAAATCAAGAACTGGAGGTTCCTCCAACGCATCTTATGAAGTTTGATGTCTCAAAAGATTAATCATATGTATATAATGTTGTAAAACAATCGTGAATTTGTAAATAC